CAGCAAGCAACAAAGCACACAAACAAGGATAAGCATAACTATGAGGAGTGCTCCAGAAGCAATGAGGATGATGTCTTTGGTACTCAGATTCCTGTGGGATGATTTCCTTTCTTTTTCAGGAGACGGTGAAGGAAGAGTAGGACACGGCGTCGAAACACTGTATCCGCAAAGCAGTAAGTTTCCGACAAAAGAGGAGGAATTGAACTTTTGGGACAAGAGAGTAGGAACAGGACCAGATAAGTTGTTATAAGAGACATTAAAGAAGCTAAGGCTATCCAGATCAGAAATCGAAATAGGAATCTCTCCGGTGAGTTTGTTTTGAGACAAATCCAAATGTGTAAGAGAAGAAATGTCCCCTAGAGTTTCAGGGATATGGCCACTAACACTGTTACTGCTAATATCCAATGTTCTAAGCTTAGAGAGTTTGCTTAGCTCAGAGGGTAGGGTTCCACGGATCCTATTATGACTAAAGGACAAGTCTTGCAGCTGAGTTAAGTTGCAGAGTGAAAACGGGAATGGACCAGAGAGAGAGTTGTGATCAAGAGATAAGACACGGAGATTAAGAGACTTACTACCCCAAGTGTCTAAGATTGGACCAGAGAGGTTGTTATGGTCAAGAGCAAGAAACTGAAGAGAAGAAGAACGAGAGAGACTCACTGGGATTTGACCAGAAAGTGAATTAAAGCTGAGATTTAGCCTAAGAAGCTTAGAAGAGTCAACAAGATTCGGTGGAATAATCTCAGAGAGCAAGTTATGGCTGAGATCAAGCGTTTGAAGGAAACGAGAAACACCGAGAGAAGCAGGGATCGAGCCAGTAAGACGGTTGTTGAAAAGCTGGACTCCTCTAAGATTAGGAATGAGTCCCAATGACATTGGAATTGAACCTCCAAGGTTGTTGTCATGAAGACTAAGCTTACGAAGAGCTTGAAGCTGTCCGATTTTCTCAGAGATTCTACCTCCAAGACTCTTCCATGGAAGTTGAATGATAATGACTTGACCTTGAGCACATTTGATTCCGGACCAGCCTCCAGAGCAAGCACTGATTCCAGAACCGTTCCAGCTTCTCAAGAAGCCTCTTGGATCAATAAGTTCTTGTTTAACTGCTTGAAGACCTTGGTAATCAGCTTGTGTGATCACTACACCGTCCCAGGCTTGGCTTGAGCAGGGAGGGACAAAGAAAAGGAGGTATACGATTAGATGAAGGAGAAATCGGCTTCGAAGTGAAGCCCTAGGTTGATCAATAGTGGTGTTGATCATTCTCAGAGAAGTAATAGCTTGGTTTTGGGTAATAAACTCCATTAGAAGATGAAGAAGAGAGAAGAAAGATTGAGATTCTTTATGGGTGAATAGTAGTTGTGAGGAGGATGGAACAGGGGAAGATTTTGGATTTGAAAGAGTTATGTAAAGAGAGAGATGGGTTTTGTTGGAAAAGAACAACAGAGCACGTGACCATCTTAGAGAGAGAGAGAGAATCTTGGTGTTTGTTCTTTTATCTTGTAGTGAGAAGGAGAGAGAGCAGGGAGACAAAGATCAGGTGATGGTAATAAGAGGTTGGGGGTGAGAACAGTGGCTCTCTGCTTCTTGCCTAATTAATACTAAATGACCTCCAACGGCTACTTTCGTTTATTCATATTAATTACTAGGGTTTAATAGTGTTTTGAATACACTTTGTTTTGTTCGATGGGTTGCTCTTGCTCATGTCATTTTGTTTAACGGTGTTGGTAAAAATATACTATAAAGTTCATTGGGAATTTGGAGTTACTAATTTTCTAGGATTTATAGATCTTTGTAAACACATAAAGGTAGATTTTATTAGTATCAAAAACGATAAAAAATTATTAATCACAATACAAACATGTTGGGTCTGACAAAGATTATAAATTACTATTACAAAAACAAAAATTTTGATTTGTCAAGAGTATTATCATGCTTCAAATTTGAACCAGTAATTTATTTCTCACATTCAAATTTACTCAGTTGTTTTATAGCTCTTTAGTTGTTTGTATGTGAGGTCAACATTATTTTAATTTTATTCCAAATCTAAGGAAAGAGATCAAAGCGATGAAAAAAAAAAAAAAAAAGGAAAGAGATCAAAGTATTGTTCTTCTGAATAAAGTAACAAATAAAGCAGACAACATAATTTATTTATTTTTTGTTTTGCAGACCAGCATCGTTTAATGCGCCGGAGCTGCCTAATGGACACGACACACGAACAACAAACCGCTCCGCTCCTTCACTTCTCCTCCTAACGGCTATATTTGTGGGACCTAAAAGCCATTGGATCACTAGATCTTGTGAAGAAGCCCAAAGGGAAAATAAACAAGACCATCTCATTCATGGTTAATGACTAAGCTGCCCTCGCAAGTGGAGTAGTTTTTAGTCTTTTAGAAGAAGAAGCCCACACGACTTCGAAACTTGAAAGTGAAACTTTTCCCGGCTTACAATTAAAAAAGAGAAGAAGTTGCCGTACGAGGTTATTATGTTGACGTTGATCTATCTTTGCCCTTTTTAACTTGAGGTAGTTACTGGTTGGTACACGTGTACCGCTGGATCTAACCCGTTTGCATTTTCCCATCATCTAGATTTGGAGGTTTTGAACTTCATTTTTTTTAAAATTCTTGCATATGCATTTTCCAATTCAAACACATTTTCTGAACCTATACCAAACCTGACCATATGCTTTTATAACATGTCATCTCTATAATGACATATCATTCATGTGGTTGAAAGAATAGAAACAAGTGGTTTTTGAAGGGATCTTCTTAGACCGGGAATTGAAGGCCAAAACTATACCAGGTTGCCAAATTCTCAATCATAAAAAATAAAGTCAACTATGCACAAACCATCAACCTCCAACCCCAAAGCATAGCCTAATTTTGTGAACAATAAACCAACTAACAATGCCCTACTCTTTTAATCGGATCACCCTCATGTTCACCAAATCTGTTGATAAGTACTATATTTCCAAAAGTGGGACTATGAGCAAATTGATTCTAGTTTGGCAGACAAATTGTTAGCCTTCGTTTCCCTATTCTTTACCTTCCTTTTGGTAAGCGAACAACAAAGCCAACTTTACGATAAATACTGTAAATTCGACTTGACCACCATATATATATATATTCACATAGTAGGATCTAACCTAGAAAATTAATTTTGGCCATCTGATCAATCTTCAGAAAAGGAAAAGCAAGTCAATCATATATATTCCATCCATAACCATAAAGCATGAAAGATTCTAACTTCAAATCACAAAAAAGTGACCAAATATAGGAGATAACCGCAGTTAGAAGAACTAGCCACTAAGACCATCGATGCAACAGCTATGAACACTAAACTAATAAACGCAAAAGATATTCCATGTGCGTTGACATTGAAAATAACACAGATCTCAAACAAGAAGATGACACAACAAGTGTTTAGACAGTTTCACTAGTTATACTCCAAAGTGACTGGCTACTATCCTTTACAAGCCACAATGAAATGGATCATAAGGAACAAGCACCAAGAAGTATATATATATAGACACTCTACAGAATTCACCTAATTAGTTCAAACACCATTACATCATTTTGAAACTACTAAATTTTCTAGCTAAGTGCTTTCAGATCAAACTATTCTGTCACTGAATAAACTGCTAAAGAACCCTGAACGCAAATAGAACTCACCATGATCACTCCAGTTGCAGCAATATCCTTATTCGTTTTGGTGAGCAATGCTCTGAAAGTCACAGCTACTCGTAAAGGAAACAAGAGATTAAACCAATTTAAGCGAGATGGAATTTTAACAGTGAATCCCACAATAGGAGACCAATAGAGAAAGATCAACTTTGAGTTTTCTACATCTGAACATAAAAGTGTCGAGCCACCAAAGAGATAAAACAACACAAGTAGAAGCAGATATTGCAACCAAAAACTCGTAGTTCTAAATCTGTAGAGCTTCGTTACGAATCTACATTCAATTCAACAACACCAAATCCCTAAAATCAGTACGGAGTTACCAACCACAATTGTAATCAAAGGCACGAATACTCATCTCAACTCCAAGTTGCTTCGTTGACGAGATCTGAATCAAATCGAGCTCTTAAACTCTCCCTGAGACAGCAGCAGCAGCTGAGGTAGCAGAACCTCCAAGGAATGAGAGTAATCCAGCATTCGCAGGCTCTTGATCGTCCATGAAGAGATCATCCGGAACCACAAACGCACCGTGTACGCAAACGATTGCAACGCCAATCATAAGCGCGGAGGTTAAGAGAGATCCAACGCTCGTCATAAACACGACGACGATCGTAGACAACACAAGAGCAAGCAAGGTCTCTCGATCAGAGAAAGTGCGACCGAAGATGACCAGTGGCTGATCTGAGGGACGGAAGAGGTAGAGAAACATCCAACCACCTAGGAGTCCGATGAGGACAAGGAGGGAGAGAGGATGAGAGAAAAGCGAAAAGGCGAGCACGAGCGACACGATTGCGACATAGTTAACCTTGAAGTAAGCGAGATTCTTCCTGATCCGGGACAAGGCATCGGTGAGAGATTCAGGTCGAGCCATGGAACTCCGATCGATGAGCTCCGTCCATGGACGACGCTGTGACAAGCCATCACGGATCGAGGAGGAGAGGCGTGAGAAGAAAGTACGAAAAGCAGGTGTGTTGATTGGTGGCTGAGATTGAACAGCTTGCTGATTGGTGACAGGTAGCGTCGGTGGAGTTGCCATCGCGGCGGCGCGTGAGGTTAGATGCGGCTGATTTGGCCCAGAGGTTTCGATCCGTTAGTGTGAACGAAGAAAATCAAGAGCTACGGTTGCTGAATCAGAGCTCCGTGTAGATTAGATATTTTAGGGCCTGAGTCTGACCATAAGATTGAACCGGCCCAAAACCACAAGTCGCTGGTTCGATTCCTCCTCTTGCTTTTTTAACAGTGTTTTTTGGAATTTGTTTTTTTTTTAATCAAACCCTAAAAACCCGAGAGAGCACGACTAACCTTGACGGCTTCACTGACGGTCTGGTGGGTTCGTTCATCTTCTTCCGCCGATTTCTTCACTCAGCTCTTCTCTTCTTCTTCTTCTTGTTGTGGTCTTTTTGATACTTGAACATTGTAAAACGACACCGTTAGCACCATGTTTGATGAAAGCAAGTTCGATGTCAATCTCAAGCTCTGGGCTCTTCGAATTCCCCGGGAACTCTGTAAAAGCGCAACTCGCATTCTCAATGGGTACGTTTCTTCGATAACTCAACTTACTACACAAAGGATCATCTGGCAGTAAATGCATTTATAGATAAGTAATTAGGAAATTTGTGAAATCAAGTTCGTAGAGCTTATGAGAATTGAATTGTCTTTTAATGTGGTTTGATTACTTGTAGATACATGCTCAACATGCCACGAATTAAGCCCATCACTGAAGATCCTACCTGTGAAAAGACTCGTTTGGTGATATTGTCCGAAAGTGTTAAAAATACTGGTAAGAGTTAATTCTTTATCTGGGAATGTGTCTAGGAAAGTAGTGTGATTATTCGTATTAACCAATTTTTTCTTTGTTATAGGACAGATTTGTCGGAGATACCCGAGGAAAAACTAAACCAGCTTAAGAAACTTAGTGAACTTGAAGTTGTTCCTCATTCGGTTACTCTTGGGTATTCCTATTGGAGTGCAGGTAAGACAACTAATTCATTAGGAATATACTTTCCATTGAATGTTTCTGCAAGCTTCCTTTATGGTCTGTTTGAAACAATCTTCTCTTGAGCTCTTTAATTTAACGCTTATTCAGAGTTTTTATACATATGTACGAGAAAAGTTGGTCACCATTTCCTTGTAACTCTTGTTCGATCGTTTTCTTCGTCAATTGGTTTGTGATACCCTGAAATTTGATAGCCCCATTTTACTGGTTATTACCTTAAGCGGGGGATTCCAACTCATTGTTTATTTGTAAATTCTCTTTAAGTGATTTTGTTCGGTCTATTTACCTTGATATTTGTTTATTTAGGTCCTTATTCTGTTTTGGTGAATATACAACCTTCTGATATTGTTCTTTCCTTGCAGATCACATATTGAAGCAAATTCTACCAGATGGAGTGGATATACCTTCCTCTTTTGAAACAATAGTTAAGTATTAAATTTCTGTTTGCTTCGTGAATTCAACAACCTAGCATATAAGAACTCTGTTTGCATGAGCTTGCTGCTTTTTTGCTCATTTGTTTATTTTTTTCTAGTCTGCAAATTAAGAGATTAATGGGTTCATGTTCTTCCTAAGTTTCCAAGCATCATGAAGATTGTCTCTCTCATGAGAACCAACATCTCTTTTGCTTATCATGTGCAGGTCATATTGCCCACTTAAATCTACATGATGAGCTCCTTCCATTCAAAGATGTTATAGCAAAGGTTATCTACGATGTAAGTTTTTGACGCTCCTTTCATGATAGCATTTTTTTTTAAATAATTGCATCTCGTATCATTACAGCAAAGACATCTAACGTTCTGGCGGGTCTGTTATATTTGTAGAAAAATTATCCAAGGATCAAGACAATTGTTAATAAAGTCGGGACTATCAGTAATGAGTTTCGAGTGCCAAAGTTTGAAGTGTTAGCTGGAGAAAATGGGATGGAAACAGAAGTAAAGCAATATGGGGCTAGATTTAAGCTGGACTATGGCTTGGTTTATTGGAATTCAAGATTGGAGCATGAGCACATGCGGCTTTCATCTTTGTTTAAACCTGGAGAAACCGTATGTGATATGTTTGCTGGTATTGGGCCTTTTGCTATTCCAGCTGCACAAAAAGGATGCTTTGTGTATGCAAATGATTTAAATCCAGACAGTACTCGGTACTTGAAGATCAATGCAAAGTTCAATAAGGTTGATGATTTGATTTGTGTGCACAATATGGATGCTCGTAAATTCTTCTCTCAGTTGATGACGGTGTCAACTTGTGAGGGTAATTTGCAATCAGTGGCTGATGAGAAAACAAAGGAAGCAGTCGTGAGTCAAGGAGGTAGTTCTTTTGATTTAAACTGTATTTTTTTGCATTATAGTTGGCATATTTGGTGTTACCAGAGAAAAGAATAACTTTAATGGTGGGTTTCTTTACTCTGTTTAACCATAGCTGAGACTAATCTTGAAGATAAAAATGCTGGAATTAGCAAAGTGGAAATACGTGAATCCAATGCAAGCATAAATGAACCTCTTGGTGCAAATAAGAAGCCATCTGGTATTACCGAGGCAGGTAAGAAATGTCTCGGAAGATTTTTATATGACATTCTATTAGTTAATATTATTGCCTTGGAGATCTTCACCAGTATATTAATTGAGTGCAGAAAATGGGGTAGGAAAAGACTGCAAGAGCATAGAAGGACACGCAAATAAGAGGTTGAGACAAACGCTGCTTCCAATCGCAAAGCCGTGGGAACATATAGACCATATTATTATGAACCTTCCAGCTTCTGCCTTGCAGTTTCTCGGTAAGCTACCAGGTTTTAGTTTTTTTGTTCAAAATTTGTGACTATAGTCTTGTGTACATACTTTCAAGGCATTTACAAAAGAAACTTTAGCTCTTAAAATAGCGATTTTGATTCAATAGACTGGTTGATTGTGATGCTGTTTATGTTATGTGAGAAGAGAGTTCATCACCTACGTTCCCATCAGCAAGTTAATTAGGACTAGGAGATGCATCATAAATTAAGAGGCTTGTTTGAGTATTTGCTTAATTTTTGTGTTTTTCGTTCTTCGATTCTAGTTAGAGTAAATGAAAGATCTCAGGTTTTATTCTTATCATATTGGCTCTGTGATTGTTTTTGCAGATTCTTTCAGTAATGTTATTCAAAAGAAGTATTGGAAAGGACCTCTTCCCTTAATTCATTGCTATTGTTTCATCCGTGCAAGCGAAACCACAGAGTTTATAATTGCAGTAAGTATCAACCACTCCCTCCTGCCTGTCCCTTGTAGTTTTGTTTTCTTCATTATCATATCTTTGTACCATAGATCTGGTAGCAATTTTTCGGCATGCCTTGAAATCTGAAATACAGCTTGTGTGACAATTTTTAAGGAAGCTGAAACTGCTTTGAAGTTCCATATAGAAGATCCAGTCTTCCACAAGGTTAGAGATGTAGCTCCAAACAAGGTAAGATCCTACTCGTCTGATTTTCTTTTTTGATATATTATCGAAACATATCATCTGTAGTTCCTGAGCTAGATTTCTTATGTACCTTGCAGGCTATGTTTTGCCTAAGCTTTAGACTACCTGAAGCATGCTTGAAGCAAGAAGACTAAAAGACATTTCTAGGAAAGAAAAAAGAAACAAAAACGCATTTGAAATCTCTTCTTTTTGCTTTTGGTATTGTTTGTTGATTCCATGGCACATAGAGTCACTTAAATTTGCTCAATAGTATTAACAGAAGCTGAAGACTTTGATAAAGTTGATGAAAGCATATAAGAAAGATAAGAATATGCCTTTGTTAATATACACTATTGAGTATTGACAATTTCACATTTCACAATAAAAGTACGCCTTTTTGTTAGTCTCTCGGCGCATATTAGCAAAGGATAGTGATGGACTGTAGTATAGTAGATGGGGCGGACGGAGATACCAAAGAAGAAAGCCGCTCAAAATAATTAAATTTGCTCAACCGTCATCTTCTTTAACCGATCTTAGCTCAACTAACCCATTGCTTTTTTGGCGTTAATTCAATCGACCAAAACCTTTTTCTCCTTTCTAGCTCACGCTTTCTTCTTCTTCCAATGGCGTCTTCTGCAGCTCTCGGATCTCTCCATCGTGAGTTTCTCGCTCTCTCACTCTCACTCTCTCTCTGGCGTTTTGCTTTTTCTGTTGATTTCATGAGGATAAGGAAAACTAGAAACGGAGGAACATGAGTGAATTTTCGGAAATGAAATGCATAAATTGGAGCTATCCGTTAGTGACGTTGTTGCTTCTTAGAGTGTAATTTATCCAATCTTACGATTACTAGCTGAGGTTTTTCTGATTTGATAGATCCGATCTCTGTGTGTGAATTTGGCATTTGGCGACTTAATTAAGTTTCAATTTCGGATCTTGTGTGTCTAATTTTGTATCAGAGATGTTTCCATTGGTCTTTTTCTTTAGGTCCTTTGTTTCAGCTGGAAGGTGGATTTGATACTTAAGTGTCTTGCTTCATTTTACAGAGACTTTAGGGTCCGCCATTAATTCACAGAGTGAGGTTCACTCTCTTTCTGGAAACTGGTCTGCCTCTGGTAATTCTTGTGTACCACAGTGGAGATTATCCAACAGGAACAGCAAGTACACTCTTGTCTTACGTGCTAAAGCCGCTAAATCTTCGACAGCAACCAAAAGTGATGGTGAGTCTTTCTCTCACAATTCTTCTTCATGTTCATTTTTCTGGTTAATTGCTTTTTAACTACCAGACTTGTCTCATCACTTAGCTAACACGATCCATTGGCCAAAAATGGTATATTAGTCTCTTTTGCTCTTAAAGGAACTGGAACTGTAATTTTTAGTCTTTTACCAGCTATCTTGGAACCAAAATATAGAGTGATGTGAATATTGGAACGTTTTTCTTTTCTTTCCTTGACTTTTGCTCATTTTTGGTTTTGCAGATTCATCTGAGGCTAGTGTGTCAAACGGGAAGAAAACTGTTCGACGGATAACTTTCCCGAAAGAAGTGGAGGTTTCTTCCTTGCCTTTTTTGGGTTTAGACATTAGGTTCTTTAATTTATAAGTTTGGTAGGTGATGATTTGACGATGTCCTCAAATATGCACTTTCTAGATCGTCTTGGATGCATAACTTCAGGCAATCTACTCTTATAATTTGTAATTCATGACGTATGGACTTTTCTTATATGTTGTAAGATGAATTGGATGTTTACTTTTGAAATGTTGCAGGCACTGGTTCACGAGATGTGTGATGAAACTGAGGTTGCTGTGCTGCAACTTAAGGTCTGGCATTAGTTTTAACTTCACGATTTTTTTTAACCTTTCGTTGAGGCTATACGAAGGCGAGTGCATGTTACTCATCCAACAATTTGGAGCTAAATATCGCTGATTTGAGTCGAGGCTGATACTAGAATGTAGGTTCCAACAATTACACTCTTCTGAAACTTTCTTTTGCTACAGGTTGGAGATTTTGAGATGAACCTAAAACGGAAGATTGGAGCGGCCACAAACCCCATTCCCATGGTGGATATATCTCCAACCATAGCTCCTCCTATTCCTTCTGAACCCATGAATAAATCTGTTTCTTCAGCTCCTAGCCCATCTAAAGCAAAACCCACCTCTGAAAAAGTGTCTCCATTTAAGAATACATCATATGGGAAACCAGCAAAGTTGGCTGCTTTGGAGGCATCTGGATCTAACAACTATGTTCTAGTCACATCTCCCGCAGTATGAGATCTATCTCCTAATTAGTGATTGCTTTCGTATCCCTTAATTTCTCTGCATTTTTCTTGTTTGATTTGATCTCGTTTCTTCTCTTACCAAACAGGTGGGCAAGTTTCAGAGGAGTAGAACTGTAAAAGGAAAGAAACAATCTCCTAGCTGCAAAGAGGTAAACGACTCTAAATTCTTGTTCATCTCTTAAAATAAAAAAAACCACAAATAGGATCAAAGAGCTAAGCAAAAAAAATTCCTCAGGGTGATGCAATAAAGGAAGGCCAAGTTATTGGATACTTACATCAGTTGGGAACAGAACTTCCAGTGACGGTAATAGCTTAGCTATGTATCCATCTCTTCTTTGAAACTATCAAATCAGACTCATCGATTTTGCTATTTGTTGAGCAGTCGGATGTAGCTGGGGAAGTCCTTAAGCTTCTTTCAGATGACGGAGGTATACATTTGAGTATTTCAAACCGTTTCAGTTAATACGAACATTCGGAAATTACATAAGAGAATTGATATGAAATCATGCTTCATGTTAAAACAGACTCTGTAGGTTATGGTGATCCTCTGGTCGCGATCTTGCCATCTTTCCACGACATCAACATCCAGTGAGGACGGTTTCTTCAGCCCAATTTCGCATCAAATGAACAATCTTTCATCCGGAGACTGTACTATTCATCTTCTCCTGTGTTTGTTTAATGGAGATTTGTAATCTGTTTAGTTGCAAAGAGTCTATTTTGATCTTGCTCTCATCATTTGTCACCTAACCTTATGGTTGTCACGTAATGTGGATTTTCTGCACCAGGAAAAAAAAATTGTTGAATTTTTATAGAAATGACGTGGCTATCTTATCTTCTCCGATCATCATATAAACTCAAGAGTCAAAAATTCAGAAGAAAATTGACGAATTTTAATAATGGTGAAAGAAAAAATATTGACATTCGTCGCTTATTATTATTCGTACGCTCTAGGCTCTAGCAATGTATGTGTAGGAAGCTGACGTGTACAAACGGAGCTCTCTTCTCTGAGAATGAAACTCACCACAAATGATCTCTTCGCTTCTCAACCATTATTCCACTGCCCCTGCTCCTCCTCCTCCCGTCCTCGCCGCCGAAGTTTCCATGGCCTTCATTTCCCGATCAATCTCACTACTGAGAAGAATAACTCATTATCCATCGTTGCTCTTTCTGATTCCGATCTTCCATCCCGAACCGCCTTCTCCCGCCGCGCTTTTCTCCTCGCGCCACCACTTCTAGCCTCTGCTGCTTCCTTGTTTCTCAAGCCGTCTGTCTCTTTAGCCTCCGAGGAGAGCTCTTCCGCTACAAAAACTTTACCTGCGGAATCAGCAGCTCCTCCTCCTCCTGCGACCGCCACTGCTCCATCGCCGCCGCCTGCACCCGTGAATAAGGAAGAGACTATAACCTCGAGAATCTATGACGCGACGGCCATTGGTGAGCCGATGGCTATGGGAAAAGATAAGAAGAAGGTCTGGGAGAAGCTGATGAATGCGAGAGTTGTGTACCTCGGCGAGGCAGAGCAAGTGCCTACCAAAGACGACAAAGAGCTTGAACTCGAAATCGTTAGAAACCTGAGGAAGAGATGCCTTGAGAGCGAGCGTCAAATCTCTGTAGCACTAGAAGCATTCCCTCTTGATTTGCAGGACCAGCTTAATCAATACATGGATAAGAGGTTTGTCTACACATTCTTACTGCAAATTCGAGATTGCCTTTTCGTGATCGTGAATATTGTTTGATGGCAGGATGGACGGAGAGACATTGAAGTCTTATGTGACACATTGGCCTGCTCAACGTTGGCAAGAATATGAGCCTCTTTTAAGTTACTGTCGCGATAACTCTGTTAGACTAATTGCTTGTGGCACTCCTCTCAAGGTAGAGTCTTGAAAGTATTTGGATGTAGTTAAATGTTTGATTTGCTTTGGATGATCTTCGTAGTTCAGTGTTTAATTTCTAATCCTTTTGAATATGCTGCTTCATTTTATGTTTCTCATCTGGTTCTAGAGTAGTTTTTTGGATGGTAGCTACATTGTTTTCTATCTGATTGAAGTTTGTGAGACTAATTACATCTTGATAGTGTTAGTGGTATGAATATGGTTTTGATCATTTGAAATGAGTATGGACATGTTTTAAGCTGTCAAGACTAAAGAGAGCGAGCTTATCAGAAATATTGCTTTTGTTTTATGACTCTGATAAGAGCTGACAAGACTCTGCTTAATCTGATGTAGGTTTTAAGAACTGTCCAAGCAGAAGGTATCCGTGGTCTTTCAAAATCTGAGCGTAAATTATACACTCCCCCTGCTGGTTCTGGGTTTATTTCAGGATTTTCTTCCTTCTCACGTAGATCTACATTTGATATGAGTCTCCCAACACAGATTGTTCCGTTTGGACCAAGTTCTTATTTGTCGGCACAAGCAAGAGTTGTTGAAGACCATACAATGTCACAAGTTATTTTACAAGCAGTAGCAGATGGAGGGGGTAGTGGTCTACTGTTAGTGGTAACAGGGGCGAGTCATGTTGAGTATGGCTCAAGAGGAACAGGTTTGCCAGCAAGGATCTCAAGGAAGTTTCCAAAGAAAAACCAAGTTGTTGTATTACTTGATCCTGAAAGACAGTACCTGCGAAGAGAGGGCGAAACTCCAGTTGCTGATTTCTTGTGGTATTCTGCAGCAAGACCCTGCAGTAGAAACTGCTTTGACCGAGCAGAGATTGCTCGAGTAATGAATGCAGCTGGCAGGAGGCGAGATGCCCTTCCACCGGTAAGATTCATATGGTTGCTTTCATTATATTGACGACATGCACCCTTGTATGTAAAACTCTCTTATCAATTGATTTATTAAGCAGTTCAATTCTTCTCCCCAATTTTTTCTTTGTTGAGTTCAACTTTAAATCAGGCTTGTATATCACAAGTTCAGAATGATGGAATATATTCCATGCTTTCCAGGATATTCAAAATGGATTAGACCTTGGTCTGGTGTCACCTGAGGTTCTGCAGAATCTCTTTGATTTGGAGCAGTATCCTCTTATTTCTGAGCTTACTCAGCGGTTTCAGGTATATCCCTATATATTGTTACTTTGTGTTATTTATCGATATAGCAGAGCTTGCATACCAGTCCATCGTAGAGTACTTGTTGTATATTTATATCCCAGAATTGATGATATCTTGAACAATTAGTAGAATTTCAGTTATGATGATTTACTGTGAATTTGTGATCTAGGGTTTCCGAGAAAGGTTGTTGGCAGATCCAAAATTCCTGAATAGATTAGCTATCGAAGAGGCTATATCAATAACAACTACATTAATAGCACAATATGAGAAGCGGAAAGAGAATTTCTTTGAAGAAATCGACTATGTTATAACTGATACAGTGAGAGGATCAGTAGTTGATTTTTTCACAGTTTGGCTTCCAGCACCAACTTTGTCTTTTCTTTCATATGCTGATGAGACCACTGGACCAGACAGCATAGACGCCCTGAGAGGCCTCCTAGGATCCATACCTGATAACGCATTTCAAAAAAGTCTTGCTGGAAGAGAGTGGAACCTGAATCTTAGAATTGCTTCAGTTGTTGTTGGTGGCTTGAAGCTTGCTGGTGTTGGAGTTGTTTCCAGTTTTGCAGCTGTGGGAGCTTCAAATGCATTGAATGTAGTACGAAAGGTCATTAAACCCGAGTTGGTTGTTTCTGAGAAACCTAAGAGGTCTCCTCTTCTGAAGACGGCAATGGTTTATGGAGGTTTTCTGGGAACATCTGCAAATCTTCGTTACCAGGTATGATGATCCATGCTGCTTGACAGTGATGGTATATGTATGTTACTTCTTCGTCTTGGCTAAGGAAGAGTGTTGATGAAAGACATTATGATTTGATTTATGCATCTAATGTGAAAGTGTCTTTAAATGCAGATAATTGCGGGATTAATAGAGCATCGCCTTTCTGATGAGCTTTCCTCTCAACCTCTACTTGTAAATGCTATTTCATTTGTTGTCAGGACCCTAAACTCATATTTCGGAACGCAGGTCAGAGTTACATACCTGAATATTTGGTTTCGTTTTTCACTTCCTTATTTCCTTTTCTCCTTTAAGCATAGTGTCCTAAACTCTTATTTTTGAAGTACTATTGATTTGATCCCTACTTTTGATAAAAATGTTGCAGCAATGGATCGATCTTGCACGCTCTACAGGTCTGCAAACTCAGAAAAGCATCCCAGCCTCTAAAGAAATTCCAGAGGCTTTGGAAGAATCGCCGGTGGAATGCGATACTACTACTGAAGAGGAAAGTATCGACAAGCTCAATAATCAATGATACTGGTGAGGCTACCCCAGTAGTTATCAATTAATAGTTGTTTGCCATAAGCTTTAGATCGTAGAAATGAGCATAATAATTTCACAATTCTTAAGTTGTATGTTCGTATTTGTGCTTCTTGGCAATTAGTGATGGTTTCAATATAAATTTCTTGTCTTAAACTCACATTAGTGATGCCGATCTACCATGAGTTCCTATGGTCGTCGATACATCAATTGTTCTAGGATGATGAGAAGCTGTAACACTCTTTAGTTGACAAATACTTTTGCACAGGAGTAGGAGATGGTATCTCAGCTGGCAATAGGTTGTGGTTCAGAGATTCTATTTGGTATAGTGTATAAGCAAAGAAAAAGGGCATGGAAACCATCAACATTAATTGTGCAGATTCAACATAGAGTAGAGAGAGTGTGAAAATAACTAACAAGAGTGAATTAAAAAGTTCACCATGGATCGATCGGTGATGAATTTACAGTGATCTGATTTGCGCCTTCTAGATGCTGCCTGGATCAGCGATTGGAGGAGCTAAGCCCTATTGGATTCTGACAGAAATATTTCATACATATGTTTCCTCAAGAATCAAACTCTCTAGTACCTCGTGTTAAGAAGCAACGTGCTAGATGGAAAACAAGATTATTACCACCCAAGAGTCATATGTTGTGTGTTGAGAAAAAAAATTGGGGTTATGATGTTTGAAACCAAGTACTGGGGAAAGAAGCACTGAGGAAAAGAGAAAAGGTACAAAGGATGATGTGAAGAATCTCACAAGCCAAAATTATAATTTGACCTTCTCTCTGTGGGTTTTAAACAATGGAGTGAAGCTTTTATTGATCGTGAATCCAAACAAGAGGAATAGCTTATAACTAATCTGCAATTGCATCTCATAAACTTTTCAGATAAATTTGGATAAGTACCAACAAGACTAACATAATTATCCAACTTAAAAAAACACAACACTCATATTCTCCTCCTTTACGCAATTGTGACCACCACCACCAACGGGTTCTGCTATTTTTAAGTAATAGGTTAGCATCTCTGTCCACGGCAACGAACATAGTGAACCTCTAGCCTTGAATGAAGCGATGTGGGTTGCGAAATCTGCATCACCCGTGATAACCAGAATGTTAGCGGGCTTCTTAACATCGATTGCGTAGAGTAACATCGATAGTATCAACAACTTGTCTGCTTGATCCGACTTACGTTGATGTGGAACATTTGTGACCAAAAATATAAGAAGCAAAAGTTGAGCAAAAGTTGAGAAAAAGAAAAGATAAAATAAAACAATTTTGTCAATGATAAACAACATAGTTCAACTTGAACCCTTCTTTACATGCGCCACAAAGATCAATTCTTTGTTCAAAATGTAAGAGCCTGAAATATAACATAGGATCTTGCAGAGCGTAGAATTGATTCCAGGAAAACAGATTCAAATTGCCATAACCAATAAGACCGATGACAGAGTATTTCTTGTTCAAATGTGGAAGTGCTGCTCTAATCTTTCTTACATGTATTCTTTTGTAAAACACAGAGTTAAAATGTTTTGTAAGCTTATAAAGTAAATTTAAACAAAAAAAGTCACAAATGTTAGTTTATCTAAAACAAGTTATATATGTATATATATATATCTATTAAATCAATTTTATAGTTTTATCATCTTTAAAACGAATACAACTTAATATTATTATAAGAAATTAAAACTAAACTTATTTTTATTGATAATAAACTAAAAAGAAAATTTCTATTTATTAAATATTGTGTTTTTAAAAAATTAAAAATTTGTTTGTTAACAAGAGGAGTCAAGAATCCGTTGTTAATATAATTTAAATCACAAAAATATCATTAAAATGAAGACATGTTCATTTTAGTTAATTTGATACTACATGCATTCAGCATTCATATGCAAATGTAAATAAAACAAAAGCTTCTTCATTTATATGGTCGTCACAACCAAATACAAAAATGAACAACATCGAGATGTATCATCTTTAAACCACGAAAGTGGCCAATTAAATCACAGATGTTCTTAATAAGAGATTAATCAAACACTTCATCGAGAAGAAATAACTAAGCAAACAAAGATGAAAGAGTATAAGACCTCACAAAAAACAGACCTATAAGCGTACGAGAAACGAGAAGAAACAATCTAAGCTCCATAAGAATGACGTATATAAAAAAAACTTATTAAACTTTTCAATAAAGCATTCTCAAAAGTTTTTTCCAACAACTGCCAATATCACAAAGAAAAGAAGCAATCACAATGCGAGAAAATGTGATGAACATCTCTTAGAAAGAACCATTTGATAACAAAAAGGAATTCAAAACATAACAAAAGGTTGAGCCTAAGGTCAACACTGCCGGCAGATTTCTCCTCATCCTCTTTAAGTACGAACACCTCGGTTAAGACTCACCATACGGCTTGAGCCATCCGTCTGCATACCTCTGTTTCCTGAACCAACTCTTCCTGCATACCCTCCTCCTCGGTTCTGCCCTGACCACTGACCATTTTGTCCAGATGATCTTCCTCCACCATACCCAGATCTGTTACCTTGTCTTCCTTGCCCGTAATTCGTCTTGTCTTGCCAATATCCACCACCACCTGATGCTGCTCCTGCATAGTCTTGATTGTTGTCCCTTCTCCTTGAGCTCAGATCCAGACCACCTCCACCAGTTCTAGATTCCATTGCCCTTTCATTGCTTTCTGCCAAAATCGAGAGTTTCTCGGTTAACTGGAAAGCCAATGATTGTAGTCTGCTGTGTTGCACTTCATGGAAGACGATGCATTGAGTTGGCTGGTCCCAGCTTGCATGAAGCTCCTCATTAATCATCATCTTGCTCACAATGCTGTGGACCTGCGGCTCAGAGACGTCAAACATTTTGGCCAGCTGATCAAGACTTAAGGACTCATAGGAGCTTGAGTATGTGAATAGGTATGTCCTTAGAGCCTCTTCTTTGATCCTATCCTTCACCATATCAAGGATGCTGTCACGGTTCTTGAGCAGCCTCCAGACCTCAAGAGAGTTCAAAACTTCAAACGCCTTCTGGAAATCCCCTTTGGTCAGGGCTCTGGTGGCTGCCATGACGTGGTCACGTACATTCTCAGGCGGCGCAGTGAATGCTTGCCTTTCACTGATCTCGAGCAGGCGGCGGAAATTCTTGCTAATCACTCTGCGTTTGGCATCGTGCGAGTTTGCAGCCATGTTTGGGACTTCAAGTAGCATGGCACAGATGAGATGAACTGCCTCCAGGAGCTCGAGGTTTAAGTGCATGTGGTACGGCATTTGTCTTCTCCTCTCCATCCTTTCCTGGTAAACCAAGAAAGTTTTATACCACATACGAAAAACATGATCATAAGCATCCATGTTGAAATAGAGAAAATGGATTGTGTGAAATGGAAACAAAATTAAAACCTCAAAATGCAACAGTGTTTGTAATCATGTTTCAGTCAGAACTATATGGTCAAACAATTTTCTTTTCACATCCTGTTTGTATTAAAAGATCTAAAAACAGAAAATAAATAGTTACCTGCTCTGGGGTCTTCTCATGGTATCGGCTTTGCGAAACACCTTGGGCAAGTAACTCCCTCACCCTTTGACCAGAATACAGCTCGGAAAGGCAGCTATGGGACTCAGTGATCATTCCAACCCGGAAGGCGCAAAGACCAAGCTGCGCCATGGTCCTGTTAAAGAGAATCTGTGTTGAGATGTCCATGTGCTGGATGTTGTCTTGCAGATGACTCATCAGCAACAGGTCTCTAGCAGTCCCAAAGTTGTCCATTAAAGCATGGTGATTGATATCACATAGCATCGCACGAGCTTTGGTTCGCTCATCTCCATTTCTGTAGATAAGGGACACAAGAATATCCATCATTGCTCGGCTGCTCTCTGGGAAGGTAGGCTTTCGGGGAACAACCTCCGGAACAACAATGAATGATGTAGGAGGTCCACTCTCCTCTTTGGCCTCCTCAGTCTCTTCTTCTTCTTCTTCTTCCACCAACTCAGCCAATTTCCTCATAGCATCATAAACTTCCTGGGGCTTGTAATATATTGCCTCAACTCGTCTTAAGGCTACCTTTGCAGCAGCTTTAAAATCACCCATCCGCTCGAAGTAGTCCTGGATGTTCTGAGCAAGGGCCAAGAACATGGGCTCATCCCTCAGTCTCTCAACATACTCACGGGTGTGAGGATCAATGCATTGCAAACTCTTGAAAAACTCAGTGTCAATCCTCTCCAAGAATGCAACCAAATTTCCCCAGACCCGAATTTTTCCATCATAATCTGCTGGCTTTGAAGTTTCATTCTCATCAGGTTCAACTGTGTCATCCACAACAATGTTATTGTACTTGACAAGAATGTCCAGTATGGTGAGCATGTTAAGCACGCATTTCTTCCAGACATTGATAGGCATGTGCCCGCTGAGACCTGGATTCACATCAAACTGAGCTGAAATAACGCTAAACAAGATTTCAAGCTTCTGCGCAGGAGTCTTGGCAATCTTTGTCAAGTGCGTAAGCTGATCAACTAGCTCAAATCGAGCAGTGCCCTTTTTCCCACGAGAAGCCACAATTTCCTTGAACTTCTTGTTGACCCAGTCCCAGGTGATCTCTTTAGGATCTTTATTAATCAGCTTCTCCATAAGCTTATCTTTTTTGCTCAGCATCTTCTCCCAAGAGAGATTATCAGTAGGTTCCTCCACATCATCTTCAGACTCAGGCTCTATGTTAAGTCCGTCCACGGATTCTTCATCATCGACATCACTTTCATCGTCGTCATCTTCAGGTTGTTTCTCTTCCTCAACTTCTGGAGACTCACGATATTTGTTGATATCATCTTCGTACAACTTATTGTTCTTCTTCAGTTTCTGTTTCATAGAGTTCAAAGCCTTGGAGTTACTAGTGCTCATCTTCTTCTTGGCTTCCTTATTCGCAAGGGCTTCAATCAAGAAATCCTCCAACATAACAAGAGTCTTGATATACAAGGTAGGAGGCTTCACAGCCTCAGTAATCCTCATAACCTTCTCAAGCTGTTTGTTAACCTTATCAAAGTTTTCTTGAAGGCTAACCCAATCATTAATCTTCATAGCATTCTTCATCTGCTCAACAGTGTAGGTCATCTCCTCAAAACGTTTATCTTTAGCAGGCTTAACCACACGTTTTGTATCGATATCCAACTCATCCTCACTACCACTTTGAAGGTAACGGTTAGTGACGTCGTCATTCTGAACCTCATTAACCTCTTCTTCATAATCACTCTCATCTTCACTTTCACTTCCACCCTATCAACATAACAAGAATCAATCTCATTCAGAAAATGAAGCAAGTAAAGACATGTTTTTGATGAGTAAACAAGAGGTCTAATGAAGGAAACCTGGGCGAAAAAACGAGACGTCATCTTCTTTAGCTGAAAAGGTAAGCAACAAGAACACTGAACACCTGATACACCAAAAAGTAACCAATCTGAATAGTGAAGCAGAGAAAAGATACATCGAGATTATATATATATATATAAGTGTAGAGGTAATAAAACAAATCGAATCCATTCCAACAACTTATAATCTTACGGTTCTTACGGAAAAAATCTGTCTAAAATCAGATTTGAACGATTCAATAGTGTCACAGATACAGACGCGAATCACGAAACACCAAACTCGAATCGAAAATGGTGTTGAGAAAGATGAGGAACAAAGAAATTACCTGAATTGAGACGATGGAGATTTGCGAAAGGAGATGCTTGAAGAAGATAACGAATCTACACAAAATGTTGTGGAGAAGAAAGTGTGTAGCCGTCCAAGGTTGCAGATCGAGATAAAAATATAGAATTAGGGTTTCGTGATTTACTCACTAAACCGGATTCGATTTTATTCTATTTCCATACCGAAACTGAAAACCGAGGTGATTCAATTTAAACGTTCTCGGTTTTTTTATTTACAAACCAAATTGGTCGAACCAGGACTAATTGAAATTAATTGAGAAAATAACCGGTCCGTATTCCTTTTCAAGACTTTGTCTGCCTGGTGGTCGTCTTATTTGAGGTAGTCATAAACTATTAGATACCAACTACTATACAAGATTCTTTTTACATGGTTCTTTCAGAAATCATACAAATGGAATCAGCAGACACTATAAAACAACTTTGACTGTACCAATAGAACTCGAACGGAAAACCGAATCTCTCGAGCAGTCACAAAGATTGTCAATGATCAACTAAGCTTTGGTGGTTCGAAAGATTTCACAACATTGAATGTGTTTCTTCACCACAACATTGGTTTCATATCTTTCTATATCTCTCAGGCTGTCTTTACACCAGTCGAAGTATCTTTACCCGTCCTGCGCCATAAGTTGACCAGAACTGAATCAATCATGATCTGCACATTACAGAAGTATATGTCAATAATCAAGAAAAAAAATATGCACACAAGTATATTATAATATATATAACTTGTAACCTGGTTTAGGTGTGCAGCTACACATGGAAGAACCAAAAGCCCTGTCTCACCAAATGCACCTCCTAACTGTTCTACTACCGCCACCATTACAGGTAATGTTTTCTACGCCACAAGAAAAGAACTTCCAAATTAAGAGATCAAATCGGTTCATAGGCAAACTCTATTATTACCTGGCTTGAAACGAGCAAGACTGCAGTGGTGTTTTCCTTGGAGTTCTTACTACCACCTGAAACACCCGAGAGGATGCGGATTGAAACAGCATTGAATGCTAGTAGAGAAAGATGCAGCAATCTGTAAAAAGACGTAATGGTCTTTTGTTAGTTCTCCGCATTTTTAGCACACGAGCCAAATATTTCCATGTACTTCTCTTCACTTGGTATCCTTTCTAAATGTTAGAGAAGAATGCATACATTCCAATGCCAACAGCAGCAAGAAACACCTTAGGCTTAACGGATAGTAGCAGTGATCTTGACCTGCTCACTTGGATCCATGGCACCTAGAATATTATCATGAAATCAACATACTACTACGTTCCCAAAAAAACCAGGTAAATGCAATAACAAAGTCAGACCAGTTGAAGTAGCCAGGGAGGCAGAGGTTAAACTATAATACAATGGTTATGCCAAAAGAAAAAGAAAAAAGTATAAGTCCATATATCTCCTAAAGTCATAACCATGACTGCAAATATGGTTTCTGCAATTTAGTAAAAGCTTTGGATTGGCACATCAATGCCACGGAATGTTGTACTCCCACTCTATCATACAGGAAAAGAGAAAGTTTTGAAGTATAAGCAACTAAAATGCCAAGATTAAGATTCCTGCAACAAGGCAAAACTCCAAGAAACTACGGGGGACTAACATTGCATATCTTACCAAACTGAGGCAGATTGCGTTGATTTTCGAAAAGAGTTTACGGTTATTGTCAACAAAGTTTGCGAAACCTGTATCACACATTCCAACAAGAGTTTCAAGTTCAACATGGTCAGAAAGTAGGTAACAATGAGCATACATATTTACTAATGAACCATTTTGATCTATTGTCACGATAAAGTGGCTGCTAACTATATTATATGGTATATATTCAATTACTTTCACCAGAAAGGTAAAATATAACAAATGGCGCTCACCTTTGAATGATTCTCGAATAACCTATAACAGAAGAAACCCAAGTATGTCAAAGCTCGATTTTAATAACGTGCGCAAAATGGTAAAGTGATAGAACTTCATGCTGCAATGACTGTTTGTGGAAGGTTCATATAAACATCAGGGAAAGTAACCAGTTACATCCAAGATGCTCTTAAGAAAAAATGAAGCAAACAAATAATAGAGAGTAAGCTCTCTTCTCTTTTCATATGAGCAACACAACAAACCGTATTATACTTTCCAATAAAGCATTCATATAGCTTTTGGCAACAACCGCCTCTGAAAATTTAGCTTTCACAATTGTACTGTATAGCAGAATTTGATATTGATACATCATTGCAAGAACAAAAGGTAGGACAAACAGAAAGATTGTCTCACCTTGCCAATGATTAAAGGAATTAACAAAGTAACTATAAGACTTCTGAATAGTTGGTCAGTAGGAAACGAAACCCCTACTCCCCCAGCTATGTATCTTGATACCCAAAATGGAATCTGATAAGAGGTCAAACCATGTAAACTTCAGTGGCAGAAGACGGAATACTCATTCCTAACAGAAGACTTTGAATCCTATTCATAGATACAGAGTTTCCCACGTAGAGATTTTGAATCCTACTCATAATACAAGATCATATGCTATTTTGAAATCAAATTGCAAAGCAAAAGCAATACTGAAAAATAGACCAAGCAACCATCTCACTAGAAATATCCCTGATCAACTTGTAGTCTCAAAAGAGGAACAAAAATCTTCAACTCGGTTGGCTTACAGTTAAAATTCCTAATAAGTTAGACGCCACTGTCACAGCAAGAGCAAGAGCAGCATTGCCACCAGCAAGCTGAATTGGCAATTTGATAAGTCAGTGGAACGCAAATAAAATAGTTCTGCACAAAATATTGATTAGACTTATATTAAATTGAGTACGTGAGTAAGGGCAACACCACTTGATAAGGTGGTTGGCATACAGCAAAATATACCCAGCCCTGTAAATAGCAAAAGGACATAAATAAGTTTTAGACTCCTCAATCACTAATTCAAAGTTAAAGACTATATAAAGCACTAACTAATCAAGCTACTTCCATATTATGCATTTTGTGTCGTCACTCTTAAAATCGAAATTGAATAAATGTAAAGAGCCCATCAAGATTCAAAGACAACATCAAAGTGGAACTGTTGAATACAAGATCACAAAGGCAATCAGATTTAGCTCTTTGGTCAACTACTTGATCACGCAGAAGTTGATCAATTAGTTGTAAAATAACTATATATCTAAAACTGGTGGATCAAACGAGAGACAATGTAACTAAAACTATAGATATACTGTAAGTCAAAGCAAGCCGATACAATATAAGCAGTAACAAGTTCAGATAGCGACAGGGTAACCTGTAACAAGTTCACGAGGTTGGAGTTGGACCAGCATAATTAGCCTTGAGAAGGATGGAGTGAGCAACAAAATAGAGATCTGAAAGAAAAAGAGAAATAGTTTGGGTTTAAGTATGCAGTATAATAACTAACAGAAGTTATAAAAAAGAAAAGCATTACCAAAAAGGTCGTTATTACACAAAAGCATGACTGAACGAAAGAACATTGGGGCAGAAGGTTTCTATTCATTACATTTTCTTATTTTCAGAATTTAGCAGAAGAGATCTAAACTAGATAGAAGAGGAACCATTCACAGAACATATGAAAGCTAAAGATGAGTCAAGATCATACTAGCCCGAAGACTCCAAGAGGCCATCCTTTAACAGCAGCACCAATCGCTTCAGTACGTAAAGTCAACCCTGCTCCACAATACATAGAAAGAGTACACAATGGATAAGCTATTTGACAGAAACAAAGTGATTGCTTCCATCAACCACCTTTAACATAAAATGAAGAAGAAGAAAGCAATTGTACACTTATGCCATAGCATGATAGAATCACCTGATATAATAAATATCCCACATGTGCTGATCTTAGTGAAAGAGTATTTGTCAGCAAGACAGCCTAGAGTTGGATTTGCAAAGCCCAAAGCCACTCCACTAACAAGAGCTGCAAACAAATAACCAACAAAGCACAATTGAAATGTCAAAAGTAACAAAGTGAGGCCTAAGAGTAACAAACTTTCATCTCAAGAATCGTTTGAGAAAATGAGGATTAGCCCAGTGGTTATGTAAATTGAGTGGAAAATTGGAGAAAATGGCAAGAGAAATGTGTAATGTTGTTACCTAGAGGCAAGAAATTATCTGAAGCAAAACTCAGAAATTCGTTGCCAAAATGTAATCTTTGAGCTGAAGCTGAAATGGCTCCGTCACCACCAAGCTGTGAACAAAAACAAAAATCTCCAACGGAGTCAAATAAAGTTTGATCATTTACATAAATCAAATTCATTCACCACACGCGAACTTGGAATAGTGACAGAGAAAGAGACCTTTTCGGAAGGTTGGCATGCTCTAATGGATCTGGGAATCCATCGTCTGCCACATGGCTCTAGATAGCGGTGGAAGACGACGGAGCGGCTCACCGGAGACGGTGGTTGACTTAGACGTAAAAAGGGGTTTTGGGTTGAAGCCAGGATACTAGCTATCGCCATGAGATGAGAGTAGACAGAATTAGAATCGAAAGTGAGCACAAGAATGAGTTAGTTCTGCATTACTCAGTTTTAAACAAGTCCGGCTACCACTGGCTAGTGGCTACTGTTATTTATTTTATTTTATTCTTTAACTCAAAAATATAAATTCATTTTCAATTTGAACCAATCACAATGAGTTTGTCTTTCAGCCTCAACCATTGGTCGAAACCAATATTGGACTTGGGATCAAACATTGGGCCAAATCAGAGGGCACAAGATTAAACACAAAGGCTAAAGGAGAGACAACCCAAATTATTTCAAATGCACTCCATTCAAATATATTGTGTATCACAATCATTCATATCCCCTTTGTTAGAAGAAGCATAGACTCTCACATGACATTAATGTGCAGAGCAATCATTCACCGTTTTCATATAATGCAGAACATGTCCAATATAGTGACGCGCTCTTTCGTCCATATGAAACATATAATAAAAATAATCATAATCATATCATCCGTATCCTGAAAAAAAGATGAAAAACAAAAAACTGAAAAAAACTCTATTAATAATAAATTGAAAATTTTGACTTTGTAATAAGACAATTTTTTTGGCATTAGAAAAACTATATTAATAATAAATTGAAAATTCTCAAGTTACGTAGAAAAACAGAAAATAAATAATGCAATTAGAACTAGGATTTATAATTTGTGCTAATCACACCATAGAAAATATTTTGAGCAGTAGGAATTAAACTTAATGCATCAATAAAGATTGCTTAAACCCCAAGGTTGTGACTTGTGAGTTTAACAAAAAGTCGTAAAATCTAAATCGAATCTGATTACGACAAGGCACCTAATACTTTTTAGATTGGAAAAGAAAAAACGATTATTTTAATCACAATAGCTTCTTACCCAATAACAAACTGCCACGTATGATTTCGCTTGTTCGATAAACTATCTCTCTGCTCCATATAACTGAATCAAAGACTTTTTACGAGAAAGGAAGAAAGATCAAAACTCTTTCTTTTTTTGTTCTGTTTCCAGAAAATCTAATCTAAGAAATGGGTAACGCGTTTAGGTTACTCCGGAAATGCTTGAATCCCACGGCGGACGATAAGCCTCACGGCGTCTCCGCCTCTTCCGCCGGCGTCTCAGCTCTTTCTCGTGATCTCTTAAACTTTGAGACCACTTCTCAGGTCTCTCTTCATTGCTTTCTTCTAACTTTTCTAATCTTTCATCTGATTTTTCTTGGATTTGTTCTTTAGTTTCGTTTTGAAACTCACTTCTAAGTGAATTGTCTAAATTATCTTTGTGTCTATAAAGCAGAGTACCAATTGTCAGAGATCATACAATTTAGAATGATTATGATCTAATTAAAATTCATTTTATTTCAGGTTCCTGAAAAGCTTGGGAGTTACGTTGTGTCTTCCCAAAAGGCTCAAGCAAACTGGTAAAGAAACAAAACACAGATCATACTAATGTTGTCTATGAAGATTTGAAAATTTCCATGTTTTAATTTGTCTCTTTCTTCCAAAACATGTTTTGAAGGTATAGAAAAATACTTGAGGCATGGAAGCAAGCTAAGCCTCGGCCTAAAACTCCTGAGGAAGCCTCTAGGCTTGTTATCGCGACTCTAAAGAACCATCTAAAAGCAGATGTTGAGGTATTAATCATGATGTTTCTTTCAAGTTGCAAAAATGTTAAGGAGTTTTGGAGGATGCATTATTTATATGGTTGGCTTGTTAATGGTATTGACAGGGATTTTTGTCTTTCTATGGACTGCCTTCACCTCACAATCTCGTTGAGGTCCCTACGGAATCTCCTGTGTCTTTACCTAAAGGAGTTCGGTTTGAGCTTAAAACGCTTCCGGTTAGAAAACTTCTGAAACTTTAAAAGGTTTGGGAGCTAGTATGATGACTATGTTGTTGCTGATCAAGAAATTTTCTAATTGAAATAAGGTGGATACAAAATCTGTAGCAGATGGAGATACCGTTACTGTATATGTTAGTAGCAAAGACCCGCTTGTGTCATCTTCTCTTCCTAAGGAAGTGAGTCTTGCAGCGGTTAAAAGAGCGAAAGCGCGTGAGAAGAAGAATTATACTGAAGCAGATGCACTTCACAAGACTATCATAGCTTCTGGTTACAGGTTTGTGTTTTTTGATATACTTACTAACACAAGAAGATCATAGTGTCAAATCAAAATTGAGCTATGAAATTCATAACTATTCCAAACCCTTTTATGTTAAACTTAGGATGATAAGTTTTCAGAATGAAGAAGTGCTTGCTAAAAAGTTCAGGATTAGACTAAGGTGAAAACATTCTTCCACTCAAATAAGCTCTTTCAAATTAAAAGATATATGGAGTTTTAAGAACAAATTGGGAATGAAAACGAAACAGCGGAATAGATTCACCGGAGAGCAAAATGCCGTATGGAAAAGAGGCGCATGATGAGCTACTCAAGATGGTTGAAGGGAAATGCTTGAAGGTGTTAGTATATACAGAGGATCGTTATGGAAGATGTGTAGGAGATATATACTGCAATGGAAAATTTGTACAGGAAGTAATGCTAAAGAAAGGTCTTGCTTGGCATTATGTAGCCTACGACAAGCGTGCAGAGCTCGCAAAGGCAAGATTTTATAAACTTTTGTGCATCTCATTTACAAGTTTCTTGGATTAGGCTTTCTGATGTGTAACGGGTTTTTTGGTGTTTGAGTTCAGTGGGAAAATGAGGCTAGGCAAAAGCGTATTGGCTTGTGGGCATCTTCTAATCCAGAGAAACCATGGGAGTGGAGAAAGAACAAACGTGAAGGAAAGTAATTATAAATTTATAACAAAACCAAAAAAAAAACAAAAAATACAATACTATTCGATTATGATTATTGTGAATTGAAGAACCTGTGATCTGTTGTTGTAATTGTAAGAGAACTATGTAAATGTTTTATGTATTGATAAGTACTTTTTTGGCAATAGAGAATTTTTCTTTGAAGCTTGAGACAGAAGTTAGCTTAGTTGTTTTGTGTGCGGGAAATCGTAGTACCATCCTTCTCCTATGTATATATAATATAGTAACCTAAAAGATATATAAAGTAATCAAAACATTATAAGTTCATGAGTTTTAGAAGGATTCAAATGACAAAAACAGAGAATAAATAACTGAAGTAGCTAAACAATGACAATTCTTCCGGTATAACATTTTTGTAGCTAAAGAATTTACCTTCAGGTGACAGCTAAACTTTTTTCTAGCTTGATCCCCTTACCAATATCGAGCACATAAGCAAGGAGATAATATATGAACTTATATATTAAACTCAACCAAATAGAACCCAATTGGGTTCTGTTTCCCTCAGTGCCCCCCCCATATTAATATCAATGAACTGTGTTATATAAGCTTATGCGCATGCTAATCAATTGAAGACATTTTTTTCAAAAGAAAATATCCTATATCAAAAACATTGTCAATACTAGCTAATCTTCAGGGTTAGGATTTGCTCTGCTCTTTCGCTTCTTGTGAAGAGGTTTGGTCCGACGTTTCTTCTGCTTATTGGCAACACTTAGTGATGACCTTTTCCTAGAAGCAGAACACGTTGGAGAAGTGGTAGCAGCTTGTGAGCTTTGATTATTGAGAGGGCTCTCTCCAGTTGATAGACTGGACCAAAGCCAAACTGAACTTGCAGTACGAAGTAGCACTCCTGATGTGTTTTGAGGGTGCGCTAAGAGAATATTGTTCTCTTTCTTGCTCAAATGGACTAAAGCTGAGACGAAGTCAACGTCTTGTGAGATGTCTTTTGAGATTACCATCAAATTTGTTGGTTCCTCTCGATGGTTTATTCCCCACATATAAACGTCCTTAAACATCATATTAACCTTTTCCTGACTAGTTCCTGAAATATATCAACAAATGAGATCAGATGCGCACAACATTAACAAAAAAAAGAGGAAGAGAGTGTTGGAGTTTTAGTTAACAAACCTGGGTTTATAAGCTTAATGTTGACGAAGTCAAAGTCTTCTTTGGTTTGGTTCGCAACAGAATAAGCAACGATCGATACCTTACCATTGTAACCCATATTTTTGAGAGCTACTTTGATATTATCATAGATCAAAGCAGGAGTGAGATCATCAGGGATTGGGCAATCATCCAGGTCCCAGAAGATGCCTGTCTCAGCAGAACAAGTTGGAGAAGGGATAGCAACTTTTGACTTTCCCCTTTGGTTATCGATAGGGCTCCCTCCAGTTGATAGACTAGTCCAAAGCCAAACTAGACTTGCAGTTTCAAGTAGCCTTCCTGATGCGTTTTGAGGTTGCACTAAGAGAACAATGTTTTCCTTCTTGCTTAAATCGATCAGACTCGAGACGAAGGAAACGTCTTCTGAAATTACCATCAAATTTGTTGGTTCATCAGGATGGTCTACTCCCCAATTATAAATGTCGAGAGCAAACATAGGGTTTTTATAAGCTCCTGAAAATATTGTAAGTAAATATATTTATATTAACGGAGATATACTAGAACAATATAGCAATAAGTAAAAGAGAGAGAGTGTTAGGGTTTTAAGTGAATGAATGAATTAACCTACGGCTTGAAGCTGGATGTTGGCAGATTCAAACTCTTCTTTGCTCTGATTCGCACTAGTATAAGCAAAAATCGAAACCCTACCAGTGTAACCCATCTTCTTGAGAGCTAATTTGATATTATCATAGATGGAAGCAGGACTAAGATCATCAGGGATTGGGAATTCATCTAGGTCCCAGAAGACGCCTGTCTCAGCCTCTGCGAGGAAAAAATAATACAAATTGATTTACTATATATGACAGATTAAAAAAAGGAGGAAGACATAGAGACACAACTTACCAGAGAATTTGCTGTTCGAGGAAGACATGGTAAAACAAACAAACGAAAACAGTAAATTAGGTTAGATTTGCCTTTATAATGTTAAAAAGTTTTTTTTGGTGATTGAGTTCAGTGGGAACATGAGGCTAGGCAAAAGCGTATTGGCTTGTGGGCATCTTATAATGCAGAGAAGCCATGGGAGAGGAGAAAGAACAAAGGTGAAGGCACTTAATGATACCATCTATGTTTAGTTCGATAATAAAACGTCAAAACCGAACAAAAAACAATATTATTCGATTATGATTATATTCTGAATTGAAGAACCTGTGATTTGTTGTAGTAATTGTAAGAGCATTATGTAAATGTTGTATGTAATTGATAAGCAATAGAGAAAAAAATTCAAATCTTGAAACAGAAGTTAGCTTAGTTGTTTCGTTTCTAAATATAAGGGGACATGGTTTATTTTTGGGGTTTAACAATCTTTGGTTGAGAATAAAAGTCTGAGAAAGTAAAAACCAATCTTGCAATTTCAAATTTGTTTTTAGTTGATATATCGTTTTAAGAAAATGTGAAGAGTTGTTTTTGATAATTCTTCATCATCAGGAGGATTATCAAGGGCTCTAAAGCAAGAGCCTTTCATAAGCTTTTGCAATCTTCTTCTTCTTCTTCTTGATATTATTCGAAAATGCCGAAGAATAAAAAAACAGAATGGCAAGTAGGAGATCCCGCGATAAGCGTAGTGAGCGATCAATTCTGTAATCCATACCCAATGGATCTTTTGGTGAAAAGAAAAGTTCAGAATTTTTCTAAAGATCATTATGAAGTTTTTGATCCAAGTGGGAACCTGCTCTTACAAATTGATGGACAAGCTTGGGGATTTAACCGTAAAAGAGTTATGCGTGATCCAGCCGGTTTCACAATCCTCTCAATGCGCCAAAAGGTTACAAAACATGCCAATCTTTCAACAAACATACAAAAAAATGACTCTTTCTTGAAATTGTGTATGATTGTTTAGGGACTTGCGTTGAAGAACAAGTGGGAAGTGCATGGAGGAGAAAGCAAAGAGAGGGAAGACTTGCTCTTCACGGTACAACAATCTCAAGCAGTTTCATTGAAAACATCCGTGGATGTTTTCTTGCCTGAGAACAACAATGTCAAGAAGAGCAACACTTGTGATTTCCATGCTTCAGGAGGATACTCCAATATCTCATTCAAAGTTTTCAAATCGGATGCTCTCATCGCCGGGGTAGGGGTAAAAGTTAAAAACCCATACTTATTAGTAATTTAGGCAATTTTTATACATTGGTGAAGGATTGAAATCCTTATATTGCAGGTAACACATAAGTTTACATGGGGAAGTTTCTGCAAAGGGAAATATAATTTTAAGGTGAGAGTAAATCCAGAGGTTGATTATGCTTTTATCATTGCTTTGCTTGTTATGGTCGATGACAACGAGAACTGGTGTTAGTATAATGTCTGTCCTCAATCTCTTTGTTTAGTGGTTCCTTTCACAATTTATTGTTGTATGCATATGTGTTCATTTCTCAAGATATATGTTTGTAAGAATATTTTTTCCATGTAACGTGCAAAATCTTGCTAGTCCAAATGTTTATCTTTCATAAAAACGTGCAATCAGAGATATATAGAGCAATAATATATGAATCAAAACACTACAAATTGTCGTTGATAAGAAGAAAAAACACACTTTTATTAGATGTAGACGTAAAAGCAAACAAATAATCGAGACCTAAACCTCTCGATTCATCAAATAATCGTTGAACGAAGAAGAATCTCCACAGATATTTAACCAATATAAAAATAAAAAAACTCCAAAGACTTCAGAAGTTCCCATAAATGAAGTGATGAGACACAGAGAACAAATGTAGACGTTGATACCAAACAAACCCAATTTGACCAAACCTCTTAAGAAACCTTAAAACTCAAAACCAGACGCAATAAAATCAAAGAAGAGTCGGATATGAAGTAACCAACATAGTGACAATACAAACCGGGAATGACTAAAAAGCAACGCTCTGGATAAATATGTTTAGGTAAGGTCATCCTCCTCCAGCTCCTTGGCCTTGAGCTTCTCCTTCACCCTCAACAACATGGTTGTCTTCCATGAATCCTGCATTAATACCAATTCCATGATCAAGAACCAGACAGAGTTAACAAGAGATTACATTCAAATAGTTGTATGTGGTTACTGCCCATACCAGCGGAGTCATGCTATCAAATTCCTTGACAACGTCTGTGAACTTTGCAATGTCTTCTTCATCGATAGCAGAAGCAAGGTCCTGTTCATGTGAATAAATGTACAAAACTTAACATACTTTATGTAAGCTACTCCACAATTTCTTAAAAACCAAAGTTTAAACTTTACCGCTAAGAACTTGCATTCCCGTGTTCCTGAAAAAGTCGGATCCAGATCCTGCAAGAAAGTAGAAGTTAGAAAACATGCCATAATTACTCAAAGGACCACTGATGTTACGGGTGTTTGCTGTGAAAGGAGAAGAACCTGATATTTCTCCAGTGCATTAGTGATGGAAACAACATCAGCTTTGCATAAGTGGCACATGCCAGCAGTGAGAAGATGGCCCTTAACTCCATACTTAAGCAAGTTATTGTTGAGTGAATGGCGTGCTATATCTTCATAAATCTTGATTGCCTTCTCATATCTATCAAAGATAAAACAAGCCCATTATCAATCAATCCGTCCCAAAGTAGAGAAAAGACTATAATTGCTGCGCATGCAAAGAGAGCACCACGATTCCAAACAATGTCAGATTTGTCGATTGAAAATTTGATTTTAACATGGTCCCATCTGAGTACTGTAAGCATTTCAATACCAATGGATGAGAAATCAAAAAAAAAGGTAAGGTGCCGAAAATCTTACTGCTCTAGCTGGGCAGCATATTGTGCAACCTTAAGATTGCACTGGTTTGCAGAAGTGGTCACTTCTTCATTTTGAAAGAATTCAGCTGCCTTTTCAAAGTAAGCAATAGCCTGCTCGAACTTCTGATCGGATTCATAATACTCAGCAATTTCCTGTCAAAAGTAAAAAACCATTAATGTACCAATTAGTACAAATACAGAAAGTCAGTATTAAGATTACTGTAGTGTAGAAAAAAAAAACAAATCCGACAGGATCCAACATGCATAAAGCAACAGGAACCATGGAGGAAATACTGAAGAGTAATATCTTCTCAGTATCCGTACTAAAAGAGTAATATCTAATTCATGCTCAAAAGAGACATGTAGTACCTTGTAATATCTTGCAGCCATGTTGAGCCTCCCTATCTCACAAAATATATTCACTGCTCGCTCTAGGCAAGATGCAGCCTCTGCATATAAGGTCATGGATGGTAATATAAGGACGCATGAAAACACACAAGAATTGATAATCACTTCTGTATTACAGAGATGTCAATTACAAAAGTAGCTTATACATACCATTTGTGTCAACTTTCTTGTAGCATTTAGCAGCCTCAGCATAGGCGTTAGCAGCATCATGTTTGCTGTCTGACTGTAAATGCAGATCAATGTTATCAAACAATCCACACATTCTTCCAGTATCATATGTGTTGCCAAAGAATTTACCTTTAAGTGACAATCAGCAAGTTTTAGATAAGCTTTTCCAGCTTGATCCCCTGAACAATCACAAATCAAACACATAAGCAAGAAGATACTTATCAATGACTTACTATAAGGCCAAAATGTTGAATATCCAATTTATAATTCCCACATATCAATCGATAAACCTAAGATCAAACGTCTCAATTTTCTCCCTTTTCTTCACCATCATCATCACAAATAAACAAAACCCACGAAACCAATCAGATGAATCAAAAATCAAACATACAAAAGCAAAAATCAAAGGTCGGCTGATTATTATTTATGGAAATTTACATGATTTGGCGAGCTTATAGGAATTAGCTGCTTTTTCGAGCAGATCAGCAGCATCCTCGTACTTAGATCCGAATATTCCCCATCCATTGAGCTTTTTCTCAGCTTTCTTCTCAAATTCCTCAGCTTTCACCAGATGATCCCCCATTTCTTTTTTTTCCCCGAGACTCTGACTTGATAATTCACTCCGTTTTCAACCTCCGATCGTGTACTTCTATACCTCCCCAGACTCCGATTGTTTCTTCTTTCTTCGTCGAGAGAAATTGCTTTCGATTTGGATATTCACTGCGATGAGAGAGAGGCGAGAATCGATCGAGAGCGAAAAATCAGACACGCTTCGGTAGGGGAAAAGATTTTTCAACCGATTTAAGTGGGCCCAATTTGGTTATTTACTATATGGGCTTTGTTGTTTAAAAGCCCAAGTTAGCCCAATCAAAAAGTTGTACTGTTTCCTAGGGCAAACCCAAAATTTTGTGGCGAGAAGTAAAAGAATCGCAAAAGAAGGTGTTAAAACAAGACTTGCTTGATTTAGAGAGAGCATCAATCTAGACTCCATGACTTGCTCTCTTAATATATACGATTTCGTGCTTCAAATTGTATCAAGATCTTTGTAAGAAGTTCACATGACAAGTCAAAACTTTGCAGCAGTAAAGATGAAGGTGGTTATTAGGGTTTCCATAGCATAAGGTTGCCTAGTCGCTTTAACTAAGCTCTGCTTGCTTGGCAAACAAGCTTAGAAAATTTATGTTGGGAGCAAAGAACGCCAGCTGGAACATTTTCTGGATTTTCGGAAAGAGGATAATTTCACTTTCTTTGTCGAAGGTGAATAAACATGAGAGAGCTAAAAGGACGATGAGGGACAGTCTTCTCATGGCTGTGGACATGTCGCGCCTCGATCCTGTTGAAGTAGTTAGTTTGTTTGTGGTCTCAAATAAAGTCTCAACGGATGAGCTCATGATCAGTGTTCTTCAAAAATTGGAATCGAGAAATATCAAAGTTCTCTTGGCACTCAAGGAACCCAACCCATCAGGAATGCCACTTCCTTCTGTAAGCTTTGAATGGCTTTGGCGGAAACTATTAGCTGATGTCCGAACTCCTTCTCGCTTATGCAGTAGGTGCTCAACGAAAGCTGTTGCAAAACCCACGGAAGACGAAAGTAGCTGATGCAGGGTTCAGCAATAATGTTTTATCAGTCAAATTCTATAATGTTTTAACTGACTAACTTGAATTACTATTCGTTAGAGATTGATTCATATGAAATGATAGAATAACATAAAATAATAAAAACTTTAGAAGATGTGTTTTATTTTGTTTCGTGTATCACGTTTTCAATTATTCATTCGACATTCGCTGCCCTCGTTTTCTTGATGAAAAGTCTCGAACCGTCTGCTCTAAAGTTAGTTTATTACACGTGAGCCATCTTTGAAGCCGCCAATGATTATATATAGTGAATTTCATTATATCCACCAATTTTTTTAATGATTTTTGGCCGAGAGACGGTAATACTCATTTGGCCACTTTTTCATCTAGATGCATTCTTCGTGAAGAAGTCCAAGTGAACATTCATTGGAGTTGGACCCATTTTATTTTTGGATTTTTTTGCATAATTCACTTCTTTCTAGCTATAATATGATTATGATTGTTCATATTAGCTGTAATTTCCTCTCTCGGCCAGAATTATTATTTTCGTGATGTTTATAAGTTTTTAAGTACGTGACGAAAGATCATTTGGTGATCTCACTTACATGATTTGACCAGCCTGTCAGGTTTCTCAATGGTCAAATATCACAATTCCCTCTTTTACCCCAAACGGTGAAGGCAAATATCCCCATTCTTCAAAGGGTAGTTTTGTACTTTCTACTATTAACCGTGTGGCTATATGAAGCCGTTTCCTCATAACAACTACAAAAAGAAAAGCTTCTTCCCGCCGGCAAATTCTTAAGTTTCTCCGGCGGTTAGAAAAATGTCACCACAGATCAAAACTCATCTCTTGCCTAAGCAAGAACCTTCTTCGTCTGAGAATCATGGATCATCAACTTCCGGCATCGTTTTCAACGTGTCGACGAGTATAATCGGAGCCGGGATAATGTCGATGCCGGCGGCGTTTAAGGTTCTTGGAATAGTCCCAGCGTTTTTGATTATCACGATCATAGCTTGGCTTTCCACCATTTCTGTTGGATTCTTGATGAAATCAACACTCGCCGGAGAATCAACTACTTACGCCGGAGTCATGAAAGAGTCGTTTGGGAAAACAGGATCCGTCGCTGCACAGATTGCTACGATGGTTGCTACTTTTGGATGTATGATTGTCTTTTCGATTATTATAGGTAAATAATTTGGATCTACGTGTAGAGGTTTCTGCTACTATTTGAGCTTAAGAACAGATTTTCTGAGTTTGTATTTGTTTGTTTACTCTCTCAGGAGATGTTTTTTCGGGTAATGAAAATGGAGGATCGGAACATCTTGGAGTCTTGCAAGAATGGTTTGGTTCTTACTGGTGGAACACGAGAATCTTTGCTTTGTTGTTCATTTACGGCTTTGTCTTGCTTCCATTGGTCTTGTGTAGACGAGTCGGTAAGGATCTCTGTATAATCCTGTGTTCTCAAAACTATGGATATCTATGAGATTGTTGATGATGATTTTTTGTTAATGGTTATGTAGAAAGACTGGCATTTAGTTCTGCGGTATCGTTTCTTCTTGCGGTTCTATTTGTTGTCATAAGCTCGGTGCTGGCGATTTCCGCGCTGGTGAATGGACAAACGAAGAATCCAAGACTGTTTCCGGAGTTGAATAATGGAGGATCGTTTTGGAAACTTTTCACAGCTTCCCCTGTTATAGTAACAGCCTTCACGTTTCATTTCAATGGTACGAACCCATCTCTTTGACCAAATCAGTATTGTTTCTCTGTTTTGTTTGTATTCTTGGTTCTGAGTTTGGTTTTTTTTATTCAAAATGTGCAGTTCATCCAATTGGATTCGAGCTCAAAGATCCATTACAAGTGATCCCAGCAACTAAGATCTCTGTGATCTTGTGCGCTGCGATATACTTTGCAACTGGACTCTTCGGGTACCTTCTCTTTGGAGATGCAACTATGTCAGATATTCTAGTGAACTTTGACCAGAGCTCTGGTTCTTCCATTGGTTCTCTTCTCAATGACATTGTCAGACTCAGCTACGCGCTTCACCTCATGCTGGTCTTTCCTCTCATGAACTTCTCATTGAGAGCAAATCTCGACGAACTCTTGTTCCCCAAGAAGCCGTCTTTGGCTAAAGACTCAAAAAGATTCATCGGACTCACTCTGGCTCTACTGATTTGCTGTTTCTTGTCTGCAATCGCTGTACCAGACATTTGGTACTTCTTTCAGTTCTTGGGATCAACCACCACAGTTTCAATAGCATTTATATTCCCAGCCGCCATTGTTCTAAGGTAACATCAGCTTTGTTTCCTTTACTAACATTTACCAGATTCCTGCAAAATCCTTATCTAAGTTGTTTTCTGATTTTGAAACCGCAGGAATGTCCATGGTGTATCAACCTCAAGAGAGAAGATCGTAGCTGCGATAATGCTTGTACTTGCTGTTGCCACTAGCATTATTGCTATCTCAACAAATTTATACAGCCTCGCAGCAAACTAATGGTTGAAAAAAGTTTTGCAAACAGTCCTCTCCATGATCACTTCAAACAAATCTGTAAAATTATTAGCTTTCCGTAGCATTCATATTTATATCTTTGTGAAATAGGTTTGTCAGAAAATGCAATGTAATAGCTATAGGGAGTGCAATATTTGTTGCTACTTGAAACAGAGAAAGAAAAAAATGAACCTCTTCAAAACTTATTTTCTTTCAATTACTTTTTGTAGACCATTATTTGAATGAACAAAGAACATCTGCATCAGACAGTATTCAGTATTGAGAATTGAAGGTCTATTGATCTAAATCAGACTATTCCTTTCTTTAGGAACAAAAATTGAAGAGTTTTAAGTTGGAAAAAGAGGAACATAAAATGATACAGACCTTCAAAAGCTTAAGATTATGAAAATACCAGGACTTCTGATTCTTGACCTATCCTTGTTCGTAAAAAAAGTAGTTCAGTTGGAAGAGACGGCGAGGTTTTTCTCATCTAGCTTCTCGAGTATGTTTGACTTGTATGTTGAAATGTCTGAATCTTCCAAGGAATCTGGAGTCGATTTGACGATAGAGAGTGCTCCATTAGAGCCTAGGAAGTTGGCAGCTTCATCTGCAACAAATTTCGAGATGCATTTGGCTTTAAGCATATACTCAAAAAGATCAAAAGAGTTAACAATCCTGAGGTCCTTATAACCAAAGAGATCTATCTATGCAGATACAGAAATAGAAGAATCGCAAAAGATCATGTTAAAACAAGACTTGCCTGATTTAGAGAGAGCAGCAAGAGCCTTTAGAGCTTCTTTCCTTGTCTTGTCATCTTTAGCACTTCCCAGCATAAGTAGAAGCTCTTGAGCCCCACCCATCTCCACAACCTTCATCCTCCTTTCATCTTTACAGACCAAACCAAATGAGTACAATCACATCAGCCAGAAACAAGTTCATCACTAGTGAGAACAAATAAGTATTTTCAACAAATCCATCAGAGAGTAACTCCGAGGCTTACCATCAATAGCGAAACGGGAAAGCCTAGAAGCTCCCATTCTCTTAAACAAAGGATCCTTCACATGTAAAAGCGATATTGATTGATGAATCAAGTTATCACCTAACCCAATAAGTGACAATCAGTGATCCACGATAAAACAAAAAAAATTGTAAGAGCTGATTTGATATAGAGATTCATTCACATACCTAAGTAAGGGAAAAACTGGTATCCGATATACGTTGCAGTCCCAGCAAAGAAAATTTTGAGACACCAGCCTATTTTCCTCTCAGCTTCTTCCTCCAGTGTAAGGTCATCTAGAAAATGGAAGCAAAGCCAATAACATCAACACACCCGAATCTAAAGGCCATTTACTTCTCTGTTGAGTCCAATTCACACTCTTGAGAATTCATCAAACAAAGCAACCACTTTGAACTAAAATTACAAGAAAATGTGATTGAAATCGAGACTCTCACTACTAGTGTGAAGTGAGGATGGACTTCAATTACAACTACTGAACCAAAAGCTCATCAGATTTGCAAATCAAAATTACTTGATTCTATCTTAATTTGGTGTAAATTTTAAGCCAACGAGTAAAAGGAGGCACCTTTCTTGTTCAACGAGGAGAAATTTCGAGATCGAGTCTGATACGCGTTTCGTGCCCTGCAAAAATGCTGCAGAATTTACTTCAGATTTTAGACGAATCGGTAACGACCCGTCAAACCATTGATGAAGAGAAAGGGTAATAAAGAGAGGAAATTTCAGACGAAGAATTTTGGGAAATTACGTTAGCTATGCGAGCAGCAAGAATCCGCATATTTTGTCGGAGCTCAAAATCTTCTTCGTCTTCCTCTTCGATGTTCTTCACTTCTTTGGTCCTTCGGAGGTTTAAAGAAATAACACTAAATATTGTCAAAAAAAGAAAAAGAAATAACACTAAATTTAATTAATTTTATCTAAAATTTGGCATCATTTTATCTAACTTGAAATATTTAGGCCTCATCTCTAAGTAATTGTTTCAATTAATTTAGCTGGGCAATAGAGAAATATTTGGGCCTCAGAGACCCCGAAAGGTAACTAATGGGCCTTCTTGTGATTTCATGTTGAAGCTTCTATGGGCCTGTATATGTTTATCTCCATTTCCTTCTTTCTATACGAGATATTTGTTGAGTTGATTTATGAATTAATAAACTAACAATAACAATAGAATATTTATAGCAATGCGATGCTCAAAATATATTATGTATATACACAACAAAAGGAGTGATTTTTGGTAGCCCAAAGCCGCCCCCGTGACCTAATTCTCTATGATAATTTTGTCACATAGAGAAGAAGAGAGTGGGGCAGATGGAATGGGTTTTATTTTTGTACATTCTTGTTAAGATCTCGATGTTATTTTGTCCTTTTGGTCCTTTCTAATTAAATTTTCAATTACAGTCCATCCAAATTACACATCTTCTAGCTAGTTCAACTAATGAGCTGTCTTTAACACTCATGTAACCAGAGACTCTGAGAGAGACATGAACATTGCAGCATGCCAAGTATATATATGTGGATTAAAAGTCGTATGAAGTGAATTGATTTGCACCAAACAACGCATTTTAACACCGTTAGTTATAATATTATAAGGTAAACTGATAAAATTTACAGAAGTTTAAGTATACAAGAATCCTTTCCCTAATACAATGGAAGCCGCCTAATGATCTCTTTCCACGTGTTATTAGTCTAGTAGCCTCTGCAGTGTTGGATTATCCAGTTTTTGTTCTTTTTGGTCACAAGATTTTTTGAGTTTTTGTTAAAATCATTAAATTATCAAAATGTGCAGTTAGGTGTCATGGAATGATATATTTGATTCGGACAAGGGAATACGATACATATGGGGAGAAGACAAAGGATATATAGCTGTCACGAACACGAGACCTTCTTACATTTTTGTTTTTTTGTTTTTTTATACAGGTATAAGATCAAGTAAGAAAATGGTTTATTAGTTTTGATGACTTATACTTTGACTAAATATAGTAAATTTCTCAAAACAATTCAGGATTTTATTAAATTTATCCCAAAAAAAGAAGTGGTTTTTTGCAATTTTTAAAACTGACTATTTTACAAAATAACATTTAAAACCACATTTGACACTGACAGTAGTGGCCGTAAAAAAAAAAAATCATTTGACATTCTTAGGGAAAAAAAATGTGACGTTATAATTGTGAAGATCATTCCCATCTTTTTTTCACTGCATTAACCTATTTTCACTGATAATTAAGTAATTGACCATAGTCTACACTTGCATTAACCTATTTTCACTGATAATTGAGCCTTTTTGAGGGAGGTGGTGTCATGATCATGCTTAAAAGTGAAAATTTTACAAAAAAGGGTAAAGGGTATCATACACTTTTAAGGAATATGATGATTTCAACACTTTTAAGGAATATGATGATTTCAACACTTACAGTAATTACTTTTAATACTATATATATTAAATATATATATAACAATTTGTTTCACTTATAAAACTGTGCAGTTTTATCACTTTTAATATTGGTTGGCCATTTAGTCTTTTGACTATAAAATGTGTACATTGATACGAATATATGATCATATCCTGTAATGTATACGAACAAAAAGATTGTATATATCTAAAAATGTGACACCATCTTTTGAATTTATGTATACACAACAATAAAAATATCTTGGACTATGCATATCTACACGATGTGTAAACACCAAGTGATGTCTTTTTTCTTTCTACACGATCGATGTGTAGTGAGATATATATATATATATATTTTTAATCAAAAAAACTCGACTATTTTTTCACAAAGCATTTAAATTTGTTTTTAATGATATATAGTACAATATTACAATAATATTAATGTGTGGACACAAATCCACTTCTATATAAGCCGAAGTAAAACACGAATAATAATCAGCAGTACAAATATATTTTCTTGCAGAACATATGGGAAGAGACCAAATCTCCTTTGTAAATGAACTTTTGATGTCCAAACTCTCTCGCTCACGTCCCTTTCTCTCTACCCTATGTGGACAACAAAACCATTTATTTCTCAGCTTTAGAGATTAATAGGTTTTGTTTTTCTTATTATGTCATCAAATTGTGCATGTGAATGTACTAGCCCATATCTCAATATTCCAAGTGCAAATGACGTGAATGCCATTTTCTTTGGTAAATCCGACTATCCGAGCAATTGAAACCTAAATATCTATCGTTTTTAATTAATTAAACAATTAATTAATGAGGAGAAATTAAACAGACTGTAAAAGTGGAAGAATATGAGAAATGGTATGGATATCTATGAGTCTATACGTGACAAGGAAGAGCATGCCTATTGTGTAGAGTGGGTTTTTGTGGTGATGATTAATCGGCACACGTGAATTGATGGGTACTTTTATTAGTTTATGTGCATGTCCTTGTGGAGTATAGACAATTCTATACTCTTATATACTCATCACATTTCATACTTTTATTTGCAAATATTAAAGCCTTTATAAAAACAAAAGTTTTTTAAAAAAAATCTAAAGTCGATACATTCTTTTGTAATTTATTTTTTGTTTGAGGTCTATTGAATGAATTAAATCAATTTTTTGGATAATATACACCATTGTTTTTATAACCGGTCTCCTAATTAATAGCTTAGTCGTAATATTGATTTTTGTAATGCTATTACAAAGAAGTTTTTCTAATCTACAAAATTTTGGCGTTTCTACTGATGGATTTGTACTCATATAAAATCAATGTGTTAAAAACAAAAAAATATTTTGATCTAATAGATATAAAAAATAAAAATGAAAACCAAGTTGTGCATTTGAAATTCGCGTATATGTAGAGAAGAGAGAGAGAGAAGGGCATTCATAAAGATCCCCGTGAGGAGTGTTTGGAGGCATTCCAATATCACAACGAACATTCTTCTGTTTGCTTTTATCCTCTTCGTCAACTTCTTTCGATGCTCCTATTTTAATAATGTATATAAATATTTCACAGTTTATTTCTTCCTCCATCACGAGCTCATGATTCCCATTTCTGTTTTTACCAATCGATCTGGTCAAGACCAATTACGGCACAATAAATGTAGATTTTAAGCATACCAATCAACTCACCAAATTTGGAAAGGGAATAACCTGAAAATACACTTGATTATTTTACGTTCACAATTGGATCATAATTTGTACCTCAAAACTGATGGGTGTACCATTATTTAACCGGAAGATACTGAACCGAAATCCACACTAATCTTCGAGACTTGTGAATAGTCGGATATTACAATTTACAACATTTAAGTTATCCAGTGTAATACAACTATCGGAACAATACTGTCTTCTTGTTGTGTTGGAGTAATGCAAAACATAGAAATATTAAATTTACATTGCTTAACTTATTTAATACTAGATGTTTGCACACGCGACGCGTGGGTTGTTGTATACATTTTTTCTTTATATAAAACAAACAAAAATATATATATTGTAAGCAAAACAACAATAATAACGCATACATATAAATAACAAATGAATGAGATAGTGAACATATCAATATATAGACTTAAGACTTTCACTTAATATTTTTGAGATTAACTTGGTTCAATATATGCTTCACTTGCCTTCTTCCAAAACATTACTAAATTTCAACGACAAAAGATAACCATCTAAAAAATGACATTCATTGTATATAGTAGATTAATTTAATTCGTGAGAATAGTCATTGTATTCGTGAGATAAATGACTATTCTATACAATTCAACGTTTACCTCCACCATCAACTCTCTTGGAATATTGCCATTCACTTGAGACTTATGTTGTTTATTTAATCTCTCTGCAAGAATAACAAATTTATTTGAGTCAACCCAAATTTAGGTTAATATAAATTGAATATAATGAATGTTTTCGGCAAACGATTGACCGTGCGTAGGATTTCTTGGTTTCATGTCACCTCCTCTTCACAATCTCTTACAAAAGTGACAAAAATATATATATTGAAACACCATTTGTTGAATTAGAAGAGAAAATGTTATACAATTTACCAATAATAGAAAACTTGGAATATGATTGTTTGTGAGATGTGTTTATTAATATTTATAGGGAATTTTTTTTTAATAAAATCATATTTACGTTAGATAACTATTTAACTTCCACAATCATGTTTTGTTTTTGATAAAACTTTCACAATCATGTTTGAATGTCATTTATGAGTAAATTTAATTGTATTTATATCATAAATTTTTATGTTACATTCCAAAGAATTCATTGTGAAGAAATCATTTTGTAGTAAATGATTTCATCTTTTTAGTAAGCTAATTGGAAATCGAATATCAATTTTTTTTTAATATATATAGAAAAATCCTTACACTACAAAATTTGAATTAAATAAAAATTTTAATGATCTTTATGTCATTATATGTTGAATCAATAAAACTAAATATAATAATTAATTTAATAATTATATTACAAAAACTTATTTTGTTAAAACAATGCATACTTTTAAAAATAAATAAATATACATGAATATGTAAGAAATAATCAAACATTCAAAGTAAAAAAATGAAGATAGTTTCTTTAGCTTGATTCTCTTATTGCGCGATGGTCGGAATTAATATTTTTGAATCTTCATCAATAAGGTAATTTTCTTATAGCCATCAAAATTATAATATACATAAGTAATTTTAAATTAAAAAATATTATTAAAAATAAAGAAAGAAGGAAGAAATACATAAAAATAAAGAAGAAATAAAATTGAAAAGAATGTAAGATATGTATTAAACAAAATATATAATCAAACTTTTACAATGATATCTTAATTGAGTTTTCAACTCATGCAAGAACATAAAAAAAACAAAGAGAATATTTAGGATTTGAGATATGGTGGAGGAGGATGATGTGAGAATGGTTATTTATAGGAAAATAAGTGATGAAAGTTACATCTCTAAACTAATTAGATTATAGGAGTTACAATTATAATTATAGTGTGTTTAAATGACAATGAATAGAGAAAAAAATAGTCAATTCACAATTATGTTATTCCAGTTACAATTGAGTAGTAAAGTGTAGATTTAAATGTATATGATTAAATGTATTAGATTTTAAGTTTAATTGAAAATAAATATTATAATTTTAAAAATGCCAAGTGGACCAATCAAGAGAGAGTGAAACCTTACTTTTATATGTATGATTTATATAGCAACAAGCTAATGTATATAGAAGAAAAAATCGATGTACTAATTTATTTACATTTTTACGTTTGTAAGTGTTCTCACGTATAAATATATATAAAAAACCATGGAATATGGAACATCGTGTAATTAGGCATAGAGGTAATCAAGTAATTCACGAGATACCAATCGAATTTGTCCGTATATCATTTTGTAGCGATAAAGAGAGACTACAAGGTAGACATGTGAGAGACGAGACGAGAGAGGATCCTAGCTATAAACTTCGCTCAGATCTCTAATTCCTCTTTCTCTCTATATATATAGAAGAGAACCGAAGAGGAGGAAAAGAAGAAGCTAAAACATATAAGAATGGTTTCGAGGGAACACAAGAGAGGTTCCTCTCTGCGTGAGAAGTTTCATTTGCTTCGTTCAATCACTAATTCTCATGCTGTAATTTCATTCCATCATTCTTTTTCTTACTTTGTTTCTTATCTCGACAAAATTTGATTTTTCTATGATCATAAATCAAAATCGCTCCTACTACCTCTATATTTACTATATCTATGTGTATATAAACTTGTAGTTTGAGTATTTAAATTGAACTTTATCACTGATATGTTTGCACACACACGTTTTTTCAGGAGAGCGAAACATCTATCATAGTGGATGCAACAAAATATATCAAAAAGCTTAAGCAGAAAGTAGAAAAAGTCAACAATGAGACCACGTCTGAGCAATCTTTCCGCGAATCTTCCGATCCAAATCCTATGGTACAGACATATAAAGTACCCATTGATGCATTTATATTACTAGGCGTTGATTAACTTTAATTTGTATTGGTAGGTTACAGTGGAAACCCTAGAGAAGGGGTTCATGATAAAGGTAATGTCAGTGAAGAATGAGGCAGGCATGTTGGTTTGTGTTCTTGAAACTTTTGAAGATCTTGGACTGGATGTTGTTGAAGCTAGGGTTTCATGTACAGACACATTTAGCTTACATGCCATTGGTTCATCAAATGTAAGTAAACACAGTTCTTCCTTAATTATCATCATCACTATATAATATATAGTCCAATATTCATCATAATAATCACTAATGATACAGATATTTTATATATATTTTTACATAATAATTAATTACAGAATGATGGAGACATCATGGATGCTGAAGCAGTGAAACAGGCAGTGACAAAAGCAATCAGGACCTGGAGTGATAGCCATGCATGATCCAAAAGGCTTGACCGAATCAGATCAAGTATTCATTTGATTTCTATTTATATTTTATACATTTGTTTTACCTAAAAAGGGATCTTTTGATAGACATATGATCAAGGAAAAAACCAATTGTATGTCTCTCTGATTAATCAAATCTCTCAAATAGTTTCTTTTGCATCAAGTTAATTAATTCATCACTAATATGCGGAAACTTGTATAGCTTGATCATATTGGAGATTCAAAAGGACACCATTCCTCCTATTCTCTGATTATTTTGACCCGCTCAAAGGCAAAAAGATCCTCTCTATGACTCTATCCACTTCGCTTCTTCAACTCTGTTCTCTTTCTCTCGATTCGATTTAATAATCGCCTCAGGGAACGAGAATCTTTTGCCACTTAAAAGTCTAAAACCCTTGGCTAGGTTACTTTTAATGGGCCCCAATTGTTGGTTTAGTAAGCTATTATTATGTATTATTTTTGGGCCTGAATATGGGCCGTTTGTAAACCCTTTCTTTCTTACCATTAAAAAATGGTATAGCTTGGAGGATTAAGAATTTAAGATCAATCAAACTATAAAAGAAGCATACAAAGGTTTACACTAAAAATTCATTCAGATCTCATTAATTTGATTAATCACGTCTCTTGCTTCTCGTTTCCATCAAGAACGCCCTTGTGATCTCCACACATAGATGTTGGTTTTTCTGAGAGAACACTTCGTACTTATCCGAGAAAACGACGTCGTCTATGTTCCGTATCACGAACCTTAGACAAGCCTCCTTCAGCGTCTTGCTTAAACCAAGATCCGAGACATCAAGAACGTCAAGAACACTAGAAATGTCTAAGGAACTCAACATATATTGCTCGCACAACTCTTGCAAGTATTGAATCATGTACTTATCTGCTGCAAGAAACAAGGCATAAATATGTTTCTCCAACTTGTCTGAAGCCAATGTGCCGGTGTATAGAAACTCCAAGAGAGCTTGAAGTTGCTCAGAATTCAGCTCTTGGAGCGTTATCGCGTATTCTGGAGCGGTTTTGCATCTGTCTGAGTCTAGAATGTTCTTGAAGATCTCAGATTTTGAAGCCTACATATATAGAAGCACCCAAGTCTTGTTTAGAAAACAAATTTTAATGGTTGTGTTTAAGTTTACATGTTAAAATATTAGAATTTGTTTTTTTTTTCTATTTAATTTGTACTTTTGAGATTGTATACATAAACATCAAACGCTAATGAATTTTGATTAAATCCTTATAAATTATGGTTTCATATGAATGTCAACATCTTATAAAAACAACACTACCATAAAATTAAAATAAAATTGAGAGTAGCGATCCTTATATTGACATTACCAGCAAAGCTCTATGTGCAGGAATTGGAGGGCCATCGTCGCCAGGTTTTAGAAGAATATCAGCATGAAGCTGGTCTTTGAAACCCGAAACAAAGCTGCTCAAGAAGACTATCCTTTTCTTCTGTTCTTCTTCGGTTTCTTTCATGTTTTTCATCCATTTGATCACCTTCTCTAAAGGTTGCGGCTGAATTCTCGCAAAATTATATAGTTAAAACTCATTAAGCCAATAAATTAATGTATTTTTGATATCTAAACAAAAATTGAAATCCTTACAAATTAAAGCCTAAGTGCAAATACACATATGAAGCTTACCTCACAAGAAAACAAAGGAGAAGAAGAAAGAGAGGAGCCATTATTGACGGTGGATTTATGGTTCGATTTTTCATGATCTTCTTTCGGGCCCTCAAGCTTCTTGAGCAGCGCGATTGTTGTTCTAGCCCCTTCGTAGCATGATCCACATATTGTATTTCTTGGTGGTCTTAAAATAGATGGCATTGTGGTGCAGATTGAGCAATCCATTTAATTTTCTTAGTCTGTAGTTTCCTCTTCTCTATTTCTCTATCTCGCAATTTTTGGAGTAAACTTGAGAATATGAAGAAGATCAATAGAGGAAGATGAAGGAGGAGCAGTTTCTTGCTTCGAACGCAAGTTGTTAAAGTATTGTTCAAGAGTTGGTTACGTTCTTGAAAACATATTTTTAATATATTTTTTCGTGAATAATCAACTCGGTACATGATTGTTTCAGTAAAGAGTTGTTGAGCATAATTTAACAAATAAAACAACGCAAATGAAATGATTAAGTCATGAAGGAATCTTTTAGGGGCAGTTGTATAGTTGGAGCTTGGAACTTTCATGCGATATTATATACTACTATCAATTAATTTAATATGGATAATGAAACTAATCCAACATATTAATTAATTTATTTATTATATGCTGGACTGTATATGCTTCGCATGTACATGATCAATGTTTTGAACGTACATAATTAGTAAACTTTTAACTCATGAAGAATTAAGGAGAATTAATTAGAGAGGAAATAAGAATATAGAGATTTGAGACACGATCGATAGCTTCAAAAGCTAAAAGACGTAAAAAGTTAGGAAAAAAAGAAAAGGACTTTCCAACCATTCAACAGCAAATATGTGTAGTGTAAGCACGTCGCTCCTATAACTTCAACATTAATTGACTTTATTTTGGGAAAAATATTAATTAACTCATTAATTTTGTAAGAAATGTGCAATCCAAATCTTAGCACGAATTTTTTCCCCAATGGGATTAGCTAGATTGTTGTATACCCATCACACCCATATAGTTCATATATAAATAGACCAGAAAAACTTTTGCTTGGGACTTCTAAATTCTCCAGGCCGGCTCATCTTACAATTTCTATTGAAAATGGTTCATTTAGTTTTTGCATATAATCAGATGGATTAAGTTTTATAAGGCCATCTCCAATGGGGAGAAAATTGAGCTCTCATGAGAGGCTCTCTCATCAATTGTGAAAAAAAATAAATCAGAAAGGATTTATTTTGAGAGAAACAGCTCTCATGAGAGAAATCTTGAGTGATAAGAGAGACGATGACGTGGCTTATTCTGAACCGTCGATTGTTTTGATCAAAAAAAAAAAAAAAAAACGCGTAAAAAAAAAAGCAAAGTAGCGAAACTCGATTTCATTTCCGACTCTTGTCTCTTTTTCTTTGCGAGACGCCACCATCGCCTGTCTCCGCCAAGGGGAAGTCAGCGAAGTCTTTCGAGCAAGATCTGATGGAGATGCAGACTATGTTGGAGAAGATGAAGATCGAGAAGGAGAAGACGGAGGAGTTGCTTAAGGAGAAAGACGAGATTCTGAGAAAGAAGGAGGAGGAGCTAGAGACGAGAGACGCTGAGCAGGAGAAACTTAAGGTGGAGCTGAAGAAGCTTCAGAAGACGAAGGAATTCAAACCTAACATGGTATAATCTCTAGATCTAGCTTTTGGTTCTCGATTTGGCTGGGTTTTTGTGATTAGATTGGAATTTTGTGATTGATTCATTTGAGATTTTGGCTTGATAGTTGATATTCCAATTTTGGCTTTCGATATACTTTAGATTGGAATATATCTGATTTATGCTGATTCCGAATGTGTAATTGATCATTTGAGATTTTTTCTTTGATAGTTGATACAAGTTTTGTCATAGATTCATAGGTTAGAGAGTAGAATCTAAGTCAGATTCAGGATTGGTTCTCTTTTAGTGCATGTCTCTTTGGTTTCACATTTATAAAGAAAAACCATGTAAACAAGATCATTACTAGTTGCATTTGTTACTTTTTCTTACAAGTTTTATCCTCTTGTTTCCATTGGTGGATGGTGTAGCAAGATGATGCTCGTTCGTATATTCAAGAAAGTACCAAGGAAGGCAGCTGGGATTCCGGTTTTCGCAAAAGGAAGTTAGGAGGAGATGGAAAGAAGACGTCCTACTGGTACATGTCCTATTACTTCTCGCTATGTTTCTAAATTTGGTGTGAATGTGATCAACTTTTATCTTTTTATATTTCGCTGTAGGTTTGATGGTAATGACATCCAAGGGTACAAAATATATAGGGAAGTCAATGAAATCTCAAAGAAGAATGCTGGCTCAGATTTATCTTGTTTGAGCTGGGAAACTGAAGCAACCAATCTAGATGAGAGTCGCTGTAAGATTTTGATCTGTGTTTGTGCTTCTACTCTTTAAGATGTGAGGAACTGTTTTGACATTCATTAAGTATATCCTGTAATGGCAGAGGGAGTTATCATCAAGCAAAGCTTCTTCTTTGGCTGCAATTGGTGGGATGATTGAGACAGAAGCTATACCCGTTGGAAAACCAACCATCGTTTTAGAGGCGGTCGCATCACAAGATCTATGGATTTGGCACGCATTTTTTGGACCTCCAGGTACCTTAAACGATATAAATATTCTTGATCGATCACCAATATTTGATGATATATTACAAGGTCGAGCTCCGAATGTGAATTACAAAGTCAATGGCCGGGAGTATCATTTAGCTTACTATCTCACAGATGGTATTTATCCGAAATGGGCGACTTTTATCCAATCTATTCGACTACCACAAACTCGGAAAGACACTTTATTTGCTACACATCAAGAAGCGGCCCGTAAAGATGTCGAACGTGCATTTGGAGTATTGCAAGCTCGCTTTCACATTATTAAAAACCCAGCTCTTGTTTGGGATAAGGAAAAAATTGGAAATATTATGAAAGCATGTATCATACTGCACAATATGATAGTCGAAGACGAACGAGATGGGTACAACACTCAGTTTGATGTTTCAGAATTCCTACAAGTTGAAGGAAACCAAACTTCACAAGTCGATTTATCGTATTCTACAGGTATGCCTCCAAATATCGAGAATATGATGGGCATGCGAAATCAACTTCGTGATCAAAATATGCATCAACAATTGAAAAGTGATTTGGTTGAGCATATATTGAGAAAATTTCGCAACAATCAACAGAATAACTAATCGTTTTTTTTTTTCAAATTTATTTTCAAATGTATGAAATTATTGTATCTTTAATATGTTATGAATTGTAATATTTTTCAGATTTATGAAATAAAATAATTAAAAAAAATAATTTAATTTTTTCCTGAGAACCCCACAAAGAGAGCCTACCATTGTACGTTGCAAAATTAACAAAAGTTCTCATCTCATAAATTTGAAAATTTTAATCTTAAAATGCTCTAATAAGTCAAAGTTAAGATTCTCGCATATTTAATTAATAAGTAAAACACTTGAAACTTATTATAAAAGAAAGTCGGACCAACATGGGCCCAACATCTTCTTATCAAAGGTTGAAAAAGGTATACATGAAAATATTAGATGTTTAGAGAAAGCACTGCTTACAACAACACACACAACACAAGCAAAAGATAAAGAAGCATTGTAAAGGTAGATTAGCCTTCCTTCTCATCTTTAGTATACTTAAACTTGTGATGGCTTAGTCTCGGCTTCTGCGGCTTTTGGTTCAACATCAGTTTTTGCATCAACCTTAGCCTCAGTCTTAGTCTCAGCCTCGGTTTTAGTCTCAGTCACGGCTTCAGCCTTGGGTTCAACCTCGGCTTTTGGCTCAGCCTCAGCCTCCACTGGCCAGTAAGAAGTCTTCTTTCCAGTCTTTGAAACTGTTTGGAAAACTGCTTCAGGCTCAACATTACCTTTCACTGTCACCTTTTGCTCCTTGATATCAATGTCAAATGACTCTACCCCTGATATTATTTAATAAATTCTAGCGTCAATAAATTACATGGCTTAAAATAAAACAATGATTAGTTGAAAGTATTTGAAAGACATGAAAAAAAGATTGGAGAAAAATTACCTTCCATTTTGCCTAAGACTCTATTGACGGCACCAACGCAGCCTTGGCATGACATACCAACTTTGAGGACAACGGTCTGCATTTATTAGACAGTGTAATCCAAAACTGTTAGAACCATCGGACTAGTCCGTTACAAATATATCAACAGCTCATTTAATCACTAATTAGCAGTTATATTTTGTGATCAAGCTTAATTAACACCTTTTTAATGAATATTTCAAAATGATGCTAATTGGACACTCGAGATACAGATAGAACCTAGACCAATCAATCTCATTTTTTCCACTTTTCCAATTTTATGTGAATGAATTCCAAAATATTTCTTATCATAGAACCGATTAATCGACCGATTTAGACATCCACTTCTATCTTAGAACAATTGTTAGCATCTTTTTGGAAATGGCACAAAAAGAAAGACGTTCCTGCTTCCAGATCAATGTCTCTCAAAAACAGTATTCCATCGTTCCATGGTCAAGAACCAGACGTAAACCCAAGATATGGAGATAAAGATCAAAGTCAGAAAATTACCTGAGCCATGGCTAGAATATATAAGAAGAAAGGAAACGACTAAGCTTTGAGACCGATGATCCGAATAAGGGAATGAGATGTTTGTTTGTTGAATGAGAAGAAATGGTGTCTTCTTAAGTATTTATAGTAACGCAAAAGCAAAGATTCGGAGAAGTTAGCGTAAAGGAAACGAGAACATTATGAATTAGTGCATTTATCATATTCCAATAAAAGTATAAAGGTTTTAGGAAGGTTAGTTATACCTGCTGTGGAAATAAAGCTTACCAGCTTTAAAATCCACTAACGGAAAGTACAAGTACAAAGAATTAGATGAGGTCTTCTTCTTGTACTACACATGTTGCAGTACCAATTACCTAATTTTTACATTTTTATATGTGGTCATTCAAACTTTACTTATATTAGATTGTATATTTTGACTATGAACTTATAAAAAACTATTTTTATACTAATATTTTATTTCTCAAGCTTTCTAAAGAATATTTTGTACACTGAAAACAAATATTATACGTATCACTCTATAAAAAATATCATTATTTACTATACATGTAGATTTTGAATATTGGTAAGCCGAACTAAATCATTCTATTACTAATACCTAAAATTTCAGAATCGATCATGACATCAATACATTCTTGATATTTTGTTGTTTAAAAAGTGGCTAAAAATCGATGTGTTCCGTTTTTCGGAATCCTACTCGAGTGATCATAGGAATGAGACTCGAGTAATATGGTTTCTTATAAGGATTCCCAAATGTTTTTGTCTCTTTGGTTGCTGTGAGATACTGTTCTAACTTGTAAGTTAAGATTATCAAATTTTCCATTGTGCCATCATATGCGACGTCCATGAAAAAACATACAGTATCAGCATATATCTTCCAATAATGCGTTTAGCTTTTTTTTTTTTTTTTTGGTTTTAATGCGTTTAGCTTGAACTATGAATTTACTCGTTTAGTTACTATCGCAATCTTAGTGTTCCAACACAACTCTAGACATCTCATCATATGACTCGAAATGCAAGATTCTTTTATATTAGCAGCAACGCAACGCGAAATTGCATTCGTCATAATCAAAACCGTCGGCCTCAATATCGTTATTGAAGTTACGTGCATCATACAATGCTGAATCATACTTTGTCTAGTTGGTGATCAAAGATTTAAGCCTCACATCACAATCACCTAAAGTTGCAATTCCTTTTTGGATTGGTCAACAACACGCAAGAGTCTTTTGATCCATTGATCTAAATTGCCCATATTGCTCTATAATGCTCTAATACTTTGCTCCCACTTCTAAAAACAGTTCCCCTCTATACAATTCAAAAGTTTTTATTTAATATTATCCTTACAAAAAGAAAAGAAAAAAATATTTCAAATAATTTTGTTGATCCCTACACCTCATAAAGTTCTAAAAAGGTAGAATATACATCCAAAAGATTAAATATTATAATATGGGCCCAGTGCTGTCAAAAAAGGGCCCAGTTGATAAAAAATATGGGCCCAATGATACTTTCCCAATTTGGGCTTCTGTTAAATCCTCAATTATTATCGCATCAAGCTCTCTCGAGCCTTCTTCAGAAATCTTCTTCTCCTTTTCGAGCTTTTTCTACATTCCCGCCAACAGCGAGAGTAGAGAATCTTCTCCCCCAAAACCTCAGATGAATCAACCGAAGTTTCCGACGCCGGGTAAACAAATGGAAGCTCCTCGCTCCGTCGGAGGAAGAATACAGAGGAAACCGCTCGCGGATTGTACCAACACCGTCTCCAGATCTTCTCAACAGTCATCTTCTTCAGTCAAATTCGCGAATCCGAGTCTCACTTCTTCACTTAAGAGAATAGTAGAACAAACTACGCTCAAGGAGAAACCCAAAGATGTTATTACTTCAGAGACAGCTTCTGAGAGCGCTTCTCGGTCTCTTGCCACGAACGTTAGACCCGTAACTCGCCGTATGTCTGCCGATCTGGGTTCTCCGGCCTCTGCTCCTTCTCGTCCCCAAACATCGCGATCTGATATGGGTAATTTATTTAGCTGCGATGATTTTGTTCCAATTTGGTTCTATTGTATCAATTTTAAGGAATTTCATCTGAATTGAATTTGTGCGCAACTCTAGGGTTTTCGTTTTCGGGTTTTGGGTATTTTTAGGAATTAATTAGAAGAAGGGTTGGATTAATGCTTGAATTTATCACGTTTCATGTTATAGTGGAAGAGAACTAATTGGGTCACTTCAAATTTTGAAATGTAGTTCTCAATCTCTGTTGATTTATAATTGGTAATTTTGCAAAATTGGTTCTGCGTCTATCTTTGGCTGATGTTTAAGAACTGTCTTATACTTAGGCGTTAGTGACAAGGATGATTTTGCTGAGCCTTGGTCTGTTTACACGGTAAGAAGAAAGGCCTCTGGACAAAAAAGGAGTAAAGACGCATCTTCCTCTACTAGTGCAGCAGCTCGCCTTCGTTTCGACTTGACATCAAGCTCTGGGTATGAAACCCATTCGATCATATATTATTGTTGAGTTTTGGGAAAATTAGATTTGGCTTGACTAATAGTACTAATGGACATATGGAATTTGGATAGAAGATAGTACTTGCTAACTAATTTCTTGATGCCTGTTCTTTTGAAAAAATCTTGTCACTAAGAAATACTAGATGAGATAACTTGTGGTAGTGTTGAACTTATCAGGTTTATCAAATTTGTTTAGCATTTTGTGGACTGTTTATAATCAACTATGTTGTTGTTAGTTAATTCTCTTTGAAATTTGTATCACAGGAAGAAAACACTTCAAGCAAGTGAAAACAAAAAGAAGACGACCTTGAAAGTGGCTCCAAAAAAGGTGAATTCAGGAAAGCTCTGGCTGTATACTTATCAGAACTGTATTAATCATGTGTTGTTATCATCTTTCTGCGAAAAAGTAGTCAATATTTTGATCTATCGGTTTTTCGGCTCTAGCAAATTGTATAAGTGCATTTGTATGTTTAACATTGGTTGTTCACCACGTTCTTCTGCCACATTTCTGAAAACCAGTGCTACGCATAGTTTGAAGTGAATTGTCTAGTTGTTCAGTTTCGTGTATATTCTTCTCTTTTAAAAAGGTGGATTCAGAATATTGTCATGAGCTACAGTGGAATTGCTGTTTTGTGAGATATGCAACTTGTATCTCCCGTTGTTCCACTGTAGAGCCTTACACCTATTGGTACCATATATGTTTGCTCCAAATCTAATTCTGTATCTGTGGTTACATTACAGAGACAGCGGACGTTAAAGCCAGAGAAAAAGGATCCGGTTAATGCAGCTTGTCAGGATTATATCGAGAAGCAGAAAGCTTATTTTGCAGAGATCGATGCATTTGAGCTGCCCATAGAAGAGGTATCTAATAGCGACTCAGACTAAGTAAGAAGAGATAACAATCTTAAGGATATCATAGAGACACCATAACCCGTTCGTGTTCACTGTATAGCTAAGGAGTAATTTCACAGGAAATGTTTCACTGGTCACTTAGTACACATGACAAGCCAATCTGTGTATACAAAAGATCTATCGGTTTATAATATTTAACATCGTAGAGTGGGAGAACGTTCTTGGTTCTGGATATACATGAATTGACGAAAAAGCCTGTCCACAACACACGGTTAAGGCCACGACTGAGAGACGAACTATATATATACGTCATACAGTTACATTCACACATCAAGCACTATAACACTCTCTGTTCAATGAGGCGAAGCAACTCATAATAAGAATCAAGAGCTCAATAGATTCACATAATCAAGCTTTATTCATGTCGCTGATGATTAGAGCTTTACCAGTGGTCCCGTTTCTCTTCATATTCTCCATTGATCCAGGGAACAGAGATCTTGTCAGACTCCCCATTGAAGAACTACACCCAATTCTCCCCCCATTGGAGTAACACAGAGTGGAGGTCGGTGATGACCTAAGCTCATCCTCTTCGTAGTTAGCGTACAGAAGTGGCGATTTTTTGTCATGACTCATTCGTTTTTTCAAAGAATGTGGTGGTGAGGAGGAAAAGGAAGATGAAGATGACGTAGAAGACCAAGAAAATGATGATGAGCTGGTCGTCTTCTTGCTACCGTGACTGCTCCTCCTGAGATCACTGAACATGGACATGGACAGAAACTTGCTTAGTTTTGATCTCACCTTGCTTTGTCTCTTCGGTGTCGACAAAACCCCAGAGGAGTAGTACGACGGAGGCGGGGTGAGCGGCGGAGGAATAGAGGAATCGGAGCAGAGGTGGTTTTTGGGTGTTCCAGGTCTTGACTCCCATATGAATGGTATGGAGGCTCCGCCATAGTAGGAGGATATCTCTTCATCGATTGCAAAGTCATCTTCTATTCTTTCTGACATTTATTATTCCCCAATGAACTTTGTATTCTTCAAACTCTCTGTTTATGTTTGAGTCCGCTTTTGATCAGAATTGAAGTACGAAAATGGAAACAAGAAGTGCTAGTTTCGAAGCTTCTTTAGAGGTGAGAAAGAGTAATATGTTTTGTGAGTAAAACAAGTTTGCCGATGAAACAAAAGAATCTTCTTTGCACGGTTATATATGATCGTGGATATAAGGATATTTATTCTGTTTTTTGTTTTCTATTTGAAAATTTCATATGGATGAGCATACTACAAGTATCTGGAAGATAATAATACATAGGAAAAAAAAATGGTTAGATAATAAATGAAAGGTGGCTATCTTACTGTATGCATTACTTAATGCGTTTTCATTAATTATAAGAGAGTCGTGGGGATCACATTATTGGTAAACTGTAGTATGCATTGCTTAGAGGAGTTAATATTTATATTAAATACGTTACCTTTTATGGGATTCCCTTCTATAAACCTTTTTATTTGGTGTCCTTATTATTATGGAAATAGTTATTGGCAAACTACTCCACACGTTATAATACAAGATAGACTACTTTAAAACCTTGTTTGTCGTAATATGATATTCAGACCAAAAGTTAAGGCATGTTGATCCAAAAAAGATATGGTTACATTCAATGATAATTTAGGTATAGGATGTAATAATATGGAACTATACTCAGACCAAAGCAATTTCTAGTGCTAACTGGTAACTCCCAACAATAGATATATTAGAAAAGGTAGTTTGTCGGTTCTAATTAGTTGGAAGATACGTTTGCGCGCGGGAAACTAAAGAGAAACGTGTAGGATCGAAAGACGACGGTGATGAATTTGGACGGTTGAGTGAGAGAGGCCGTATAATTTAATGATCGTTTCCAATCGTATTCGTACGTGGTCCGTTCTCTCCTCTACTCGGAATTTGCTTTTAATTAATGTGATGGCCACACAAATTGGTTAGAAAACTATAAGGGAAAGCTCCACCTATTTATTTCACGCATACATTTACACTATACACTAATATTGCATGGGGAAATTATGACAATTTTCGGATACTCAAAAATGTTAAGAGTTTTCTTTTACATTTTTACAAAAAAAAAGTTTGTTCCATGATTTGAGACGAATTTCGTACCAACGGCCCAATATCGCTTCCTTAATCAACGGCCCAAACTTGGTATTTATTAAGTAACCAGAGAACCAATGAACACAAGCCACGTCGATACACCCATTAGCATCATCATCATCAAAGGCGCTTTATTATTGTTGTTCTTCGAGACGTCGTGACTTTCTTTCATTACCGAGAAAACATAATTATAGAGAAGCTCTCAATCTTGTTTGCTTCTGGGCAGTATCTATGATTACTGTAATGGATCCCTCTTTAATTATCTTTCCCTTTCAAGTGTACACACCAATTGGTTCTCGAGAGCGCAGAAATGGCGGAGAGGCATCAAAGCCCTGCGGCGGAGACGATTCCCGGTACACCCGTAATCCGGGAAGTGAGAACCGGATCCGGGTCCGAGAATTTCAACCCGGAGAGTACAAGGAGAGGAGGACTGAGAGCTGAAATCGACATTTATTCACCGTTATTTAGTGGTCGTGGGTCTCGGGTTCCCTTCAATATTGGAAACAACTACGTGAGTTCTCTTCTAATTTCCGGTTTGCAAAGTCTGTTCATTTCTTTTAGTACGATGCATCTGTGAGTATCAATGTCATTGAAAGTTTGAAATGTATGTTCTTGAACTGTCATCATGTATTAATAATTGATGGCTAATTCGATTTGGTGAGGTTTTATGCTGACACTAAGTAGATATTTTGTGTAATGATCTATCATAATGGACAATCTTGTGTTAAAAATGTGGACAGTTTCAAGTTCGTCTTGAATTGTTTGCGTTGTCTCTGAGATTAGCCAGAAAATGTTATGTTTATGTTTTATTTTGATAGGCAATTAATTAACTGATAATTGGTGTATGCATTAATGCGGCAATTGCTTAGGGAACTAGCAAGATGTTATGTAAGATCCTTTTTGGTAGTACTAGAGGAAAATCCGGGCTACGCCCGGAATTATTTTTATTTTTTGTTTAAAGCGAAAAATATATTTGATACTCCCTCCGTTTTCGAATAGTTGTCGTTTTAGAGCTTTTTTTTTTGTTTTAAATTAGTTGTCGTTTTAAGGTAATAATGTAATTTATGCCAATAACTACCCAAATTACCCTCATTTTATTGAACACAAATTATTTGTAAATAATTACTTGTCATTTTTATGAGGTTAATATAGTCATTGTATACCTTTTCTTAATTTGTCTAAATACAGTTAAAACGACAACTTTTCAAAAACAGAGGGAGTAATTGATATCTTCTAAATTAGTTATTTCAGGTTTAAATTCATGTTTAGTTTTTAGTATATACATACTAAAAATATAATATGATATTGTACATAACATTTCACTTAAAATAACCTATATGATACTATTAATGTTTAATTATCTTTATCTATAATTTTTTCATCTTAATTTATAAGTAAAAATTGTTTCTTTTTTCTTACTATTATAGTATTATTAGTCTATATATTATTTTTCTCATCTATATCCTCATGATTTATTTGTAGTTGTTTCTAATTTTTTTTTCATTAACCATTTCTATTAGTGTAGTTCCTTTTATACTTTATTTTTCATTTTAATAAAGTATTCTTTTCCAACTTTCGTAGTTATAAAAATTGTATTAAATCTTAAAGTGGGATGCACACTGAACAATTAAACTATTAACATCCTTGGACTATAGATTTTTTATTGAAAACTTTTCTTTCATTCATTCAAATTTGTGGGGATACAAATATAATTGCAATCTCAAACACATCATGAGATGCTACATAAATTGAAGAGTACAATATACAATATAGAGATAGATGCGTATTCTTGGACTATATATGTCGAAAATCTACTTGCTCATGTACATCTTTTTTTTTTTTTTGCCAATCACTCAATTACATCTTTTGTTATTACTTATTTGCTTTTAACTATTTCTTAATGATTTCTTCACCATTTTGGAATCTAATCTCAAATCACAAACCACCAAGAAGTGGAACAAATCATTGTTTATAATTTATCTTAATTTTACGATATGAAGAATTACAATTCAAATCTAATAAATTCTTTAATCTTTTTACACTTGGGTGCTTCTGTTTTTAGAACTACACATTATTTGATTAGTTGTTAACACTATTACCATGAACCATGTGGCTACTACGCAAACATTAATTTTGAATCGAAGAGCTGCATATAAACGACCCGGACAGCAAGTGACTAAACAATCAAACTATCACAGAAGCTCGAAACGCATAATAATTCTATTGAATACTACGATCGAACAAACATTAGAGCTAACATGACTAATAGTAGTAGAAGATGCCACAAAAATTCCAATGGATCTTCAAATGACAAACAGATCAAATAAATAAGTAATGAAAATTCATGAAGCTTTTGATACTCTTGTTTAACTCTACGAACTTGAGTAGGAAACTACAGTTGCAGTCTCAAAACCTGCAAATGTTGAACAATTGGAAAGTCCTGAGGAAGAGGAGTAGCCGAGTAGGAAGTAGAATAGTTTCTTATAAAACTAATGAGCTTGAGATACGCTTCGCAGCGGAATAGCCGATTTGCAGCAGATATAAATCCTTGCACTGCGTTTGACTGTAGGCTAAATGATTAGTTCGTACTCGTGTTGGTTGTGTATATAGAGCATATAATATGCATACCTGGGAGTTGATGAGAAGTAGTTCAAGACCCCCATGAATTAGTCGGACTTAGACTAATTCTTCCAAACAGAAATCTCCATCAATTTCATCCACAATTTGAAAGGTGAATGGCTGGGGTGATGGCTGTTTTGACTGTAGTGAGTGTTTGAGCGTTTTGGTTTGTATGTATGCTTGGTGATCTGAGGTTTTATAGAGTTAATTTCCGCAAGAGGCTATGATTTTGACAGTAGTGGTCATTGATTTCGTTCGATGTTAATTGATATGAATAAATAGGGGAGTGAAGATGACGAAGTGGCGATTTGATAACGGTGGCATATTCAATTTTTGGAGAAAACTGAATCGATTCAGTTTGAGAGGATAGAGAAGATGGTCGGAGACGATGAGGAGGAAGAATGACTTTTTGGTTTTTTTTTTTTTTTTTTTTTTTTTTTTGTGAACTGATTTTAGGTTTTAATGGGCTAAATTGATATAGGGTGGCTACGAAATTATTACGCTTTTATGTTACGTGTTCAGTATATGAGCTTCTTATCGCTGGGCTTTTCTTGTTTAAGAGAGGGCTTCTTATTATTGTGGGTAAACGTTTTTTTTTTAAGAATTTTTTTTAGCGATGCTGATGTGGCGTGAGGAGAGATTGTTTTTCAAATTGCTGATGTGGACACATTGAGAAGCTTCAAGGAGCACCTTTTATTAGTAAGAGAGATTATAGGCATGAGACATGATTTTGTTTTATGTTTTTTGGTTTGTCATTATTCAGGACGGTGAGGGAGAATTTGACATAAAGAGGATGGAAGAACAGGCAGTTGAGCTTGAGAAGGATCTGATTATGAAAGAGTTAGAAACTTTAGATCTTCTTGAAGCTCTTGGATCAACCAAAAGCATTGTTGAAGATTTGAAGTGGCAGTTCCAGCAGCAAGCGCTGAGATGCATGGAGACCCCTGAACATTTGCGTTCACACACCAAAGAGATGATCGATGAGCGCTGCCATCGTAATCCCCTGAAGTCTCCAGATCTGATGATCATGGAAATGAAGCAAGCTGGTATGAATCTTGGTAAAACCATGGATGATCTTGCGTTGATCCACTCTTATGCTGAATCTCTGAATATGAAAACGAAGGAAGAGACAGATGTCCTTGGAGTAGCGTCTCTAGCTGAGGAGCTTAACAGCTTGAAGTTAAAACCACTAGGTCCTGATCAAGGAGACAGGTTCAGTACCGAGAATTTACCTGTGAGCCCGCAATGTGAACAGGTCAAGATGGTAGTTGAAACTAATGATAGAACTTTCCATAAACAGAGCAAGACCTGTCTGAGAACTGCAGAAATGAGGTTGGTTGCTGCAAGAAAAATGGAAGAGGCTGCACGAGCAGCGGAAGCACTTGCGATTGCTGAAATGACCATATTATCCAGCGGAAAAAACGAAGACGCTCTCTGCTTCCCGGAGCCACCATGTTTTCCATTAACACTTAAAGCACAGATGAACAAAGAATTATCCACCAATGTCTCAAGAATAGAGATCTTGAGGAAGCTGGAGGAAGCTAATGAAGAAGTTAAACAAAGTAAACAAGCCTTGGAAGTTGCGTTAAACCGTGTAGAAATCGCTAGTGTGAAGCAACTTGAAGCAGAAGATGCATTTCGGCAGTGGAACATAGAGTCATGGAAAGACCAGAAAGCTGTTGGAGCAAAACGATCGATGAAAAGAGACAGCTTTCCTCAACGCTCCTTCTTGAGCAATGTGAACCAGCACGAGCCACAGATCAATCTCCCTGAGCCAATGCTGAAACGTAACGTCTCAATGGGTAATGTTCTTAACCGAAAACAAGTCAACACCATCGATGAGAAACAGTTGGTCAGGCCAAGGAGAAAGTTTAGGTTCATACAAACACATCAAGCTTCCATTGGAGAAACAGAGTAAGCTAAAAACCCAGCCTTTGAAAACATGTTTTGCACATTTCAATTCCTGTTTTTTTTTATTGGTTTGATCATTGATAGGTGTTGTTGCTTCTATCATAAACAAACCCCAGATGATTAGAGTGAACGTGGTTTTTTTTACTCAAAATGTGACGAAAATAACAAAACATTATAAAAATCAAAGCTTCTAGTAATCATAATTAATTATGGGAGTTAGTGAAGGGCACTGATCATATGATTTAGGTGGTGGGCATTTTCATTGTTTTATGAGTCTTAACTACTGCATTTAAAGTGTAGATTAGCTAATTAGGTGATCCATAATCAATACCTCAACTATATAGTACATATTTTTTTATAACTTTGGTCTTTCTTTACAATGTTTCTTTCTAGATTCTCAAAATAGAAACTGAAACATTCAGATTGCACTACGGAGATTTTAAAAAAAAACAGTATTTACGATTTTGGAGTGGTCAGATTCAGAATGATGACGTGGCCAAGACTTTTAAGGCAATCTAAAACTCTCCAATAACTAAATGCCACGTGTTTAAGTCTTCACAACAAATATTTCGTCTGGAATCCTCGTATTGGCTAGAAAGTGGGACCAAACGAAACCAAAGAAGAAAAAAAAAGAAAAAAAAAATCAAAAAATAAAGTTGGAAAATTAAGAGCGGCGTGGGTTAGCAAAATCATTGTCTCAGGCTAAAATGTGCCACTCCCAACACGTGGGCTAGTCTTTTCCAAGTGTCAACTATCCGACGGTACGTTTGGTACTTTTTTAAATTAGGTCGCTTTGCTCTCATTTCGTGTCAATAATCCAAAAAGACAAAGTCATTATCTTTATTTATTAATTTTGTTTCTCCCAAACATTAAATGTTGTAGCTTTTTGATCATTTTTATGTTATAAAATATATATTAAAACTTCTGCTTTGCTTATAAAACGGAAAGGATGTATAGTACACAAAGATCCAGATCAACCTCATAGAAAGTAAAAAAAAAAAAAGAAGGGAAGATCTCCTTGTTCAAAGTAGTCAATAAATTAGCCGATATCGATCTTTAGAAAGATCCGTCGATGGGTCCATAGCATGGTGACGGGACCACCGGGTCCGCCTCGACGGAACGAGTCACTCCGAGCATGGTACCGGTAAGCAACCATCCTTAATATCATACTTTAATACCTTCTATAGACATAATACTCTTATATATATGATGCTGATAAGTTTTGAAACTATAATATATGCAAGAGGTTTATTAATGTGGGCACACGTGCAGACAAGTTTCAGGCTAAACCATATGGAGAAGGGAAGATAACGAGATCTCTCTAGACGTGGATGGGATTATCGGTTCAAAGATGGAATATACGTATAAATTCACATGCGGATTATAGTCAAATCAGAATAAAGTTTGATAAGTAGTATATAGAATCATTATCAATGTGATAGAATATATATTCTCAACCTATGTTTCGTTCATCCCAATTCCCACATTACCTCTAAAGGTGGTCTCAAAAGGCAAGTCATTTTTTCTGGCTATTAAATGAAGCTTCGATTACTACTACTTTTCCACTAATTTTTCCCCTAATTTATTAAGTGCTTTGTAATGGAGAAAGGTTTGATGGAATTGGTAGTTATTAGTATGTATGAATATGATATGCTTTTATATTGTAAAAGTAGGTTAGCAACTTCATATTTATCAACGGCCAAAAAAAACAGTTGTGGCCAAAAATGAATGGCCACTAATAAATACCCTGTAGCTATCTAGCTAGCCGTTTCCATGAGAACAATTTGTGAGTTTGGAGAGCTTGCGTTGATCCGTATAATCAGAATGTGGACGCTTGAAGGAAGATCGAGACCAGCGAGATTTGTGAAGAACCTTCAGATTGAGTCACAAAAAGTTAAGAGACGATCACAAGTATAAAAATATGGAAGCAACAACAAATACTGAAATTCAATGTTTTTTTCAAAAAAAACTGATGCATTCATTGTACACATGTACAAGTCTTTTTGGTTAAATATATTTTTACATTCATTCAAAAAAAGAAATTCAATGTTTTTTTTTTGTCATGGGACCAATTATATAGGTTAGACAATATATAAAACTTAAATCATTTTCATTTTCAATGAATATTTACGTTCTTAGCAAGAAAAAAAAAGACGATCCCAAGTAGGCAAACGATATTTTGCATCAAACATACAAACCATTGCTTAATTTGGGATGCTGGACTAAAACCAAGTTGATTTGTGTTAAGAGAACAGACTCGAGAGCAGGCTGAAGAGTGAAGAGTCAAGAGTGTGCCATATGGAATTAGTATTGAACGATAATTGTATTACTTTTGAGAGAACATATTTATACATCAGAGACTAGGATTTTCTTCTACCTACAAATATACTTAAGACTTCACACTCTTGGAAAAAATGTTTAAAAAAGGTTCACGAGCCAGTGGATTTGTCAAGGCTTCGACGAGTTGGTCTTTAGATGAAAGACAAGCAACTCGAAGTGTTTTTTGAAGTTATTAGATTCCCAGCGAAGTGGTATTCGAGGACAGGATGTTTCATTCTCAAATGGAACATCGGATTGGCACATAAATATGTTGCATCAACATTAAACGACTGGAGTCTGGAGTAGAAGTAATTAAGATGCCAGGTTATGAAATTCAGGGAATTTCAGAAGAGGTATTTGCCACTGAGTTGTACTACCATGTAGCTTCAAAGCTACCTGCCAATAACAACAATGTATGTTCTCATGAAGAAATACCGCGGTATTTAACTATCTAACTATCTCTCTTTCAAAGTAGCTAATATAACAAAAACATTACAAAGGATGGTTTTGTAGACCATAAAGTCTTTTAATAAATACAACAATTAATGTAATATTACACATTTTGTTTCTGGTCTTACTTACATCACAAATACAAACCTTTCTGTTTTTCTTTTTAAATAATCTATTATTCACGCGCGCAAGACATATCAAATTACGTAAAATATAGAAACATTTTTTACGTAAAATATATCGCAACATATATCAAATTACGTAAAACATAGAAACGTTTTTACGTAAAATATAGAAACATGTTTTTAAGGTATGATTTAATATTCATTTGAGAGCATAATTTTTCTTTTCCAAAATCCTAATTATATTTTCTGTATTTCACTGAAAAAAGAAAATTAAATATTTTTATTTATTATATATGTTAAATATGGATTATGTTTTGAAAAGATATTTTATTCTATTCAAAAATTATCCACCCCATATCGTTTTCCTTTTTTTCATAGTTATCCCTATTCCAATTAAACATAAAATTTACTTTTTACTTATATGTAGATTCTGACGCCAGCTTTTCTTGATAAGTCAAACTCAACTTAATTACATACCAATTACTGTCTATTATATACAGACGACGAAAGAAGTAATCTTCACAATCTCTCAACAAAAAGACAAAACAAAACATCAACCCTAAATTTTGTAACTTCTCCATGTCGTCGAGTTCGTGGATGTTAGACGCGACCACCTTACCAAAACTTGGCTGTCTCGGCCAAGGCCACCATGGCTACATCTCTCTCGTGAAAACCCCCGATGGTCTACTCATGGCTAAGAAAACATCTTACCGCAAATACTCAGATGATCTCGAGAAAGAACTTAGGATCTTACATCACTTCAACTCCATCAATTTCAACATCGTAAGACCCACAAGCCCTATCATCTATTACGAAACCATGCCGGTAAATGTCAGGATCTGCTCTATTTACATGGAAATCGCACCACATGGTTCACTCGAAGACATGATGACCAAAGCCGGTGGGAGATTACCGGAGAACGTGGTCGGGTACTGCACTCTCTTGATTCTTGAGGGACTCAAGGATCTTCACAAAGATGGTTACGTCCACTGTGATCTCATGCCAGAGAACATACTTATCTTCCCGACCTACACTCATGGAGAGCTTTGTGAACTCAAACTTGCTGATTTCGGTTTAGCCAAGGAGCCTAATGGACCTAATCCATTGGATGGGTCTCTGTTCCAGGGAAATCCGGAGTATTTGGCTCCAGAGGCGGTCGGGCCATGTCGAATTATTTCGTCTGCGGTTGATATGTGGTCTTTAGGGGTTATGGTAATTGAGATGTTGGGGGCTAATGTAGGAGGAAGAAATGATTACTTGTCAGCGACGCTATCACCGATGGCTTGGGACTTTGTGAGGAAATGCAAAGTGCGTGATTGGGAGGATAGAGCCACCGCAGAGGAGCTGCTGAGCCATCCTTTTGTTAACCAAAGTATTGGGGTTCCACCGCTTGAGATGCTTCCTGTTCCTCATTGCTTAACTGACGGAGTGGTTCAAGGAAGGTTTTTTTAATTTGAGTGGAGATAATCAGATAAATGGTAAGATTGACGGTGAAGATGATCCCGATATATGAATGATTTTACTCTCTCTTTTTTGTTATGGTGCTACCTTATTGTCGAATAAATGTTCTGTTTATTTATATATATCTATAAGATATATTTCTTGTTTTTTCTAAAAGATTTAAGGGAAAATACCTGGCAAATTAGATTACCGAAAAATAAGGAAGAGAAAGATAACATTATTTGTTCTCACTTAATCCTAAGTCGAAAACAAACCTCGTTGAAATAATTATATATCCGATGGAAAATGGTGATTATGAAGATTTTTGAAAGGATTTTATTTTGCTATATGTATATGTGGTCTAGTTGATCCAATGTAGTTTAGTTGATGTTTTAATGCGATGGAGTATTAGTGAGCATAATAGGCGGTTCTGTTTCCACGAAGCGTGCTATCCTACTTACTTCACTCAAGTGTTAAGCTTAGTTTGATACGTTTCTAGGATCGGTGCTGTGACATCTTCATGCTTCTGAGGCTGAAAAGCTTAAAATTGTATTTTTTCTAGCATCTTTTTGTTTTGCCTTTGCAATTCTCTTCTTGGCCTTTTTACTCTCCTTTTTTTTTGTTTGCCCTAGATAGTTTTTCAGAATCATGCAAGAGTAACAAAGAAGTGTTTAATATTTACCAAAATGAGAGTGCAAACGTTCCTTATGATTGAATACTTAATTCACCATATCTAAACCTAAATCTTGAAAAAGTCTTCATATAGTGCTGACTGCTGAGACAGATCTAACAAACGCCTATTATACGAGTCTAGTTTACCCCTATATCATGTATAAACATAAAATCCTGGATTATAGTCGAGATGAGGATCAAAGAGGACTTAGAGGACGATGAATATGTAAAGTTGTGAGCTTGTGAGTTTTCAACTGATGTTTGAGTCGCGTGTGCCAATTAAGAATGATTGTCTACTTGTTGTAATCAAAGACTAATATTGGAATATGTAGTTTTGAGTGTTGTATTTCTCATGCGTATGTGTAAACGCCTTTATAATTAGACTCATAGTTTTGTTTGTGTGTCACGTTTGATGTTTGCAAGAGAATTATTTTTTCCTGATATCGCTTTTTGATTGCAAATTTTCGAATCACTCTACTTCCCATAAATTTAAAGTCCAAATTAAATAGCTTAATTTGCTCTGGTCCATCACTAATTAATGACCAATGACCAAAACTAATCAGATTGACTTCTTTGTTTCTTACAGACTAATCAGATCAACATATATACATGTGTTAGGGGATATATATATACAATGATTTTCATCACTAAATAAAGCACAACCTACTAAATTACGTACGTTAATGGTCAAGTATATATCAACCGCTTTATTTAAAATGCATGTATAGTAAATCTGTACTGATAAATGAAGTGGGTTTGTGAAAAAATAAAGAAATAATAGATATGGAACAATTTAATAAATTTATCACTGTAGTCTTTAAGAGCTTGCTCCAGAAGCATACACCGATTAACACTTAATTGCCTCACAAACATAACGTTGCAGTCTTGCAGACGACATGGTCGTAGTTTCAGAGGAGCAAACAATTCAAGTCACGACCGTGAAACTGTTACACACTTCTACCACAAAAATTGTACTTCATTATTGTATTTAGGCTTTAATATCTTTAGAAAATGGGGTCATTATAAAAGCTTCAAAACATTTAAACCAAAAATGTATACATCATCTTTTATCTATTTGTTTAACAAGATCCCAATAGACGTGATGTTTCTTTTTGAATGTAAATGAAATTTCGATTTCTATAAAATTACGCACAAAACTGCAAGAATAATTTAGTTACAAGCAAACACATTCATATGATTTGGGAAATTGATCATCATCTAGAGAAGAGCCTGGTGAAGAAATTTCCAGAGGGAGGATTTTGAAGACAAGAGACATGAGCATATCTCCCTAACTTGTCCACTTGTCTTGCCTCACCCTTTGTGTCCTTTTTGCATATCTTACATGTTTTGTCCACCCATCCTTCCTCCACATATTGCCCATCCACTATAACATATTTATAGAACAATAATTTACAATTAATTCAAATAGCTTATAGCAACAAATAAAATCATCATTTTTTCTCAAGATTTTTACCTTCAACGTAGGATTTAAAAAAGTCCTTGTATGTCCCTCCGATTTTTCTCCTCAATGCCCCATACTGCATATCATTACGAATAATATCAAACATAATTCGATTTTGATTATTCAATACTTTTCATAAGCTTGATTTTCTTATCCATGTTTAGAACTCGAGTGACTCCCCCAAGCTTAACGTTTTATAAAAAAAAAAAGAAGAAGTGAATAGTATTAATTTGGTTATATCATTCAAAACTCAGTGTGTGGTTAATTAAGAAGACCAACCTGTTCTTGGGTCATCTTGCCACCAGATTTGGTGGCTTCTCGAGCCTCGTAGAGAAGCTCAGCGTCTTTCTCCGACCGAACTTGTGAGAAGTCCAACGCATCAGTTAATTTCGTAAACAACGAAGTCTCATCTTCCTTCTTCTTCTCATCATCTTTCTCTTGCTTTGCTGAAACAACGACCCATCTAGGGTTCCGGCTAAATCTCGGCGAGGTTCTTGAGATCGGGACTTTGGTCGTGGAGATGAAACCACTGTTTTGTTGAAGAGGCAGTGCTCTAAAACCCATCTTATGGTTTTCACTTAAATTCCAAGTTAAAGTGATTGCAAATTGTGATACGTTTATATAAGATATCATGTGGTTGTGTGGTGGGGGTTGATGTAAGTGTAACGAGGGCCACAAATGAAGAATATGTCTGTGACAGTTAATCTGGTTACGTGGGTGTTTAGTGATCTGATGATTTATGAGGCGTCCAATTTTGTTTACTTAATTACAAGTGTGTATTTCGTTAAATACGAGATTTTCTTTGATAGAGATCAACTAGAGTAAAATATTCGTAGCCATCTAAAATTGTATTTTTTAGTTGTCAAAAAAATTCCTAAATAGAAAATGGAAAATCTTACTAAAATCTAGGGATATTAAGCAATTTCCTTTTTTCTTTTGTTTTTAGAGTCAAATGTATTTTTTGGGGGTCAGAAAATCATAGATAATTTCCTAAATAGAAAAATGGAAATCTTAGTGAAATCTAGGGCTATTTAAGAAATTTCCTTTTTTTTTTTTTTTTTTGAGTCAAATGTAAAATTTGAGCTGGGAGAAGTGAAAAAATCATCAGAGTTTTTGAGAATTCCGAGCGGCGGAGAGATGTCGGAGATGGAGGTGGAGAAACCGGAGTTGACATTGTATAACACGATGACTCAGATGAAAGAAGTTTTTAAGCCGATCAATCCCGGCAAGATCGGGATGTATGTCTGTGGCATCACCGCCTACGATTATAGCCATATTGGGCACGCTCGTGCCGCCGTCTCATTTGACCTCCTTTACAGGTCATTTCATTGTTTTCGCAGTAGGATTGTTGTTGAATTTGATTTTCTCTAGGTAACAATTTAGGGGAAATTCTGTAAAAAATCTGAACAATTTGAAACTATTTTGTCTATTGTTAGCTTCTTCTATGATTTGATAAGCAATGTACTAAGCTTAGAGACATTGAAGTCATGAGTTTTCTTGAAGTTGGTATTTATCTCTCTAGTGTTGTACTGTTTGATTATGCAGGTACTTAAGGCACTTGGGTTATGAAGTTAATTATGTCAGAAATTTTACAGATGTTGATGACAAGGTATGCTATCTTTTCTGCGTTTCAGACATCAAGAATCCTTTTTTGCGCTTTTAATCTTATTTTGCAGAGAACATTGTTCTGTTCTCTTTCCTTTTGTTGGCATTTTCCACTGTTTATGATTAGGTTCACAACATTCTAAAAATCTGAATACTGAACCTGTAGGTAATTGAAAAGGCTAAAAAGTGTGGGGAGAAGCCGTTAGATTTGAGTAATCGCTTTTGCGAGGAGTATCTTCTAGATATGGCTGATCTTCAGTGCCTCCTTCCCACCCGCCAGCCTCGTGTCAGTGACCATATGGACCACATAATTAAGATGATAGAAAAGGTCAGCTGTCTTCTTTCTCTTATTTGGTTTCCTGCAATTTTCTTTGCTAAAAGATGGTGGTATAATGATGGTGCTATAATTCTCAGTAAGGTTTTTGATCCACATAATTCTTTGCTACAGATCATTGAAAACGGATGTGGGTATGCAGTGGGTGGAGATGTGTTCTTCTCAGTGGATAAGTCACCGAGTTACGGTCAATTATCTGGGCAACGGCTGGATCATACTCAAGCTGGTAAGCGTGTTGCTGTTGACTCAAGGAAGCGCAATCCTGCCGACTTTGCATTATGGAAGGTTTGACAAGTAAAATCTTTTTGTTGAATTCTTATCTGAGTCATCAAACTAGAGCATTTGGAGTTTATGCTAAAATTTTTATGCAGGCTGCAAAATCTGGTGAACCAAGTTGGGAGAGCCCTTGGGGTCCAGGAAGACCAGGATGGCACATCGAGTGCAGCGCCATGAGTGCTCATTACCTGTCTCCGAGATTTGACATTCATGGTGGTGGCGCAGATCTGAAATTCCCGCACCATGAAAATGAGATCGCCCAGACATGTGCTGCTTGTGAAGATAGTGGTGTGAATTACTGGTTGCATAATGGGCATGTTACCAACAACAATGTGAAGATGGGAAAATCACTGGACAACTTCTTTACGATTAGAGAAGTATGTTTCTTATTTGTTCCAATATCATAAATTGAGTCTTTTTGGGTTAGTGTTTTCTCATGGCTAATGCAAAATTGTTGAATCTGTGTAGATCACGGCTAAATATCATCCACTGGCTCTGCGACACTTCTTGATGAGTGCACAGTACCGTTCTCCTCTGAACTATTCGGTTTCGCAGCTTGAGAGTTCATCGGATGCGTTATATTGTGTTTATCAGGTGCACTACCCCCACAATTTGATTAACATCTTTTAAGGGAAAACGGTTTGAATGTTACATAACTCTAACCCTGTAATCTTTGTTTATTCAGACATTAGAAGATCTTGTTAAATCTCTATCGCCATATCGAGAAGAAATGAGTGGAGATGTGGGAAAGACTCAACAGACTGCAGAAGCCAAAGAGATGATAAAGAAGGTGAAAAGTGAGTTTGAAACAAAAATGTCAACCGACTTGAACACTGCCCATATACTCACGGGTGCTTTTCAAGACGCATTGAAATTCATCAACGTTTCAATCTCCAAGCTCAAGAAAATTCAGAAAAAGCAGCGGATGTCGCTGATCGTATCACTAGTCGAGGTTGAGAAAGCAGTGAGGGAAGTTCTTGATGTGCTTGGTTTGCTCACGACTCTAAGCTACAACGATTTTTTGAAAGAGATGAAACAAAAGGCATTAACAAGAGCAGGAATAGGAGAAGAAGAGGTCTTGCGGAGGATCGACGAAAGGAAATTAGCCCGAAAGAATAAAGATTTCAAGAGAAGCGATCAAATTAGAGAGTTGTTGGCAGCTAAAGGAATCGCCCTGGAGGATATTCCTGGAAAAGACACGGTGTGGAGACCATGCACCCCTTTGAGCTCTAACTCTAAGCCTAAATCCGGTTTAGGCATGACCGCCTTGGCTCTTGCTATAGGTTTTATATTCTTGGGCTTCTTTTTCTATAGCCGTTGAACTCTTATTTTGTTATTTGTTTAGATTGTGTTGATGAAATTACTTTAGATAATATCATTGTTTTTAGATAAACTTGTATCACACACAAATCATGTGCTGAATTCGTGTGCGGTAAGCTTACTAACTTTAAACATTGACCAGATAAATGATTAAAACCCAAGAGCAATTCGTATGTCAAACTAAATGGGACAGATTTAAATACACTTTCTTTTTGTTAAACAATGGTCGATGGTCTAATTTAATTATTATCGAGTTAAAACTGTAATAAATGAAAACGATATATGATGATGACTCATAAGCACATTCTGGAACTATTGATTATTCTATCGAACTCTTGGAGTTGGAGATATCGATACGACTCCATCATCTATAAGACGTTTACGTGTTTGACTTATTGATGCTTTGGGTTGTTGAAGGAGGACACGTAGAGGAAGAAATCTCTGGAGAAGTGAGAAGACGTTAATGGTGATTATCGAGAAGATGAAAGATTCAGTATTGTTCCTCGTTGGGCTCTTCTCTTTATCTGTTTTGGTCTCTCAGTCGATCGCAGGAAGAGTCAAAGCTCCATTGTTGCAGAGCAATACTGGTGGATTAGTTTTCAGCAAATCCTTCAATTCGATCTATGATACTTCTATGTACGGACGCTTGCAGCTCAACAATGGCCTTGCTCGAACTCCTCAAATGGGGTAGGTTCAAGGAATTAGCTTTTTCGATTTTGATTTTCGTGGGTTGTTTCTGATTCTGCTAACATGTAAAGGAACAATTTTTATGGGTTTTTGTCTCTATTCTGATGTAAAGGTTGAAACTTTGAATCTGTCTTACAAGTTACGAGTTTAGAAATTCTCTGATTGGACTTAAGCTTTGTTAATCGACAGATGGAATAGCTGGAATTTCTTTGCTTGCAATATCAATGAAACAGTCATAAAGGAAACTGGTAAAGCTTTCTTTTGTTTGATAGCTTCTAACAAAAAGCTACTCACATGTTTCATCTGATTTTTTTCTTTCTATGTTCTCATTAGAGTTACTGATATTTTTATACTATATTTAACAGCTGATGCATTGGTTTCATCTGGCTTGGCTGATTTAGGATACATACATGTCAATATTGGTATTTGTCCCCTGAACCTGTCTCTTCATATATTCTCTATCTGAGAGTCTTGAAATCTTACTGCTTTAACGTTTCACAAATTTGGGTTTGTTGCAGATGATTGTTGGTCCAATTTGTTACGCGATTCAAAGGTAAGATCGCTTGTATTACTTCAGCATTGCTGTTCTAACTTGAGTAGTAATTTCTGCTTACTCTCAAAAATACTATCTGTAGTGAGCTCATGTCTTTGTAGAAGTGATATTGGCTTTACTCTATTTTCATGTAGAAGTTCTTTTTCTCTGTGACTTTGTAAATGACATTAATCTAGACTCTGGATGCTTACGTCCTTTTGTAAATCTTGAAATCCAGGGTCAATTGGTTCCTCATCCTGAAACCTTCCCATCAGGAATTAAGCTTCTTGCTGATTATGTTCATTCAAAGGGTCTCAAACTCGGTATATATTCTGATGCTGGGTAGGTTAATATTCATGTACCTATTTTGGTGTATTATAAGCTCGATGAAGTTATATGCTATGGTCTCATGTTTCTATTTTAATATTTCCTCTCAGCGTTTTCACGTGTCAAGTTCGCCCGGGATCCCTTTTCCATGAAGTCGATGATGCAGACATTTTTGCTTCTTGGGTTAGTTTTCAGCGAATGACCTTTTTAAGTGAACCTTATAGAGGATCTTGTACTTTTAATTACAAACAAAGATCACTATGTTTTGATACTTGGTGGTATCTTTGTCTTGGTTTCTCATTGGTAGACTTGATTTCCAGGGTGTGGATTATCTGAAATATGACAACTGTTTCAACCTGGGAATAAAACCAATCAAAAGGTTTGATCTTTTATGATTTGATATGGTACCAATTTTTACTCACGAATTTTTTTTGGTATAATTTTCTGAATGACTTGATACGGATTATGTTTTCCACTTTCTAGATACCCTCCAATGCGTGATGCTCTAAAC